TCTTTTTTTTGGCTGTGCAGCTTGCGAGATACCAGCTCCCCAACCAGGGATTGAACCCAAACCCCCGTAGCAAAAGCGCCAAGTCCCAACCATTGGACCACCAGGGAGTTCCCTCTAATTTTTAAATTTTGGATGTTTTATCAGGAAATTTCTTGATCTGTTTGTTTCCCCAGTATTTTTCTTTGCAGATTATATGGCCCCTTTTGATGATGTTTTGCTTTGTTTTGTTTGTTTATTTATTTTTATGATCTTCACCTCAGGAATCATTTTCCATTCTGCCTTTGATGATTTTTTGTTCATCACCTATAATCTCTTTCTGAAAATGTTGAATCTGTTGGATCTGGCTTCAATATCTCAAAATTTCATCATTTCAATTTCTTGTTTTCAGAGAGATTTCCTAAGTTATCTATTCTATGTCCCATTTATTATTCAAGCTTCTTACTTGAGGATTTTTTAAAAATTCAACAATCCAGTCTTTAATTTCTAAGTATTCCCCAGTGGCTTTTTCTTAGCAGAATGTTCTCATTTTCTGGAAGTAATATCCTGCTTAATTTATTAAAAAATATAAATCAGTAGACACAAATGCAAGTTGTTTCCTTTGTGAATTTGGTTCAGTCATTGTTGAGTTGTTCATCCTGATGCTTATCCTTTATTTATGTTGTTTTCTCAATTAGCTGATGATTCTTAATTTTTTAATTTCACTTTTTGGGAGAATTACTAATAACTAATGTGAACATACTCAACCCATGATCCCATTTCATTCATCTTTCTTTTGTGGAGGGGATGGCTGCAGAAGCTCTGTAAGGGAGTGGGTAGGGGTGTGTAATTAGAGAGGCATCACTGGATTTTTTTTCCTTCCACTTTTTTTTATTGTGGTAAAATACACATAACATAAATTTAGTATCCTAACCTTTTTTTTTTTAACATCTTTATTGGAGTATAATTGCTTTACAAGGGTGTGTTAGTTTCTGCTTTATAACAAAATGAATCAGCTATACGGATACATATATCCCCATATCTCCTCCCTCTTGCGTCTCCCTCCCACCCATCCTAACCATTTTTAAGTGTACAGTAGAGTGGTATTAAGGCCATTCATAATGTGCAGTCATCACCACCATCCACCTCGAGAGTGTTTCTCATCTTCCAGAACTGACACTCTGCTCCCAGTAAACAGTAACTTCCCATTTCTCCCTCCCCAGCCCATGGCAACCACCATTTTACTCTCTGTCTCTAGTATTTTGACTAAATACCTCATCTAAGCAGAATCCTACAGTATTTGTCCTTCCATTAAGCTCATTTCACTCCGCTTAATGTCCTTAAAATTCATTCATGTGGTAGCAGATGTCAGAATTTCCTGCCTTTTTAAGGCTGAATCATACTCCACTGTATATGTATATTACATTTTGTTAACCATTTGTCCATCGATGGACACTTGGGTTATTCCCACATTTTAGCTATTGTGAATAATGCTCCTGTGAACCTAGCTATACAGATATCTCTTTTAAGTCTTTGCTTTCATTTTTGGGGGGTATAGACCCAGAAGTGGAATTGCTGGATCATATGTTAATTCTGTTTTTCATTTTTTGAGGAACCACCATGCTGTTTTCCACAGCAGCTGCACCATTTTACATTTTCACTAACAGTGCACAAGGGTTCCAATTTCTCCAACACTTGTAACTTTCTCGGTTTTTTTTTATAGTAGCGATCCTAATGGGTATGAGGTGGTAGCTCATAGTTTTGATTTTCATTTCCCTAATTATTAGTGATGTTCAACATCTTTTTCATATGCTTATTGGCCATTTGTAAAACTTATTTGGAGAAATGTCTATTCAAGTGCTTTGCCCATTTTTCAAAATTTTATTTTATTTATTTCACTTTATCTGTTTTAAAACTGTTGTTTTTGTTGTTGAGTTTTAGGAGTTCTCTGTATATTCTAAATATTTTTTTAATTTTTATTGGAGTATAAATTTACAGTGTTGTGTTAGTTTTTGCTGTACAGCAAAGTGAATCAGCTATACATATGCATATATCCCCTGTTTTTGGATTTCCTTCCCATTTAGGTTACCACAGAGCGTTGAGTAGAGTTCCCGGTGATATACAGTAGGTTCTCATTAGTTATATATTTTGTACATAGTAGTGTATATATGTCAATCCTAACCTCCCAATTCATCCTGTCGCCCCCTACCCCCTTGGTATCCATACATTCTTTACATCTGTGTCTCTATTTTTGCTTTGCAAATAAGTTCATCTGTATCATTTTTCTATATTCCACATATAAGTGATATCATATAATATTTGTTTTTCTTTTTCTGACTTCACTCTGGCAGTCTCTAGGTCCATCCACGTCTCTGCAAATGGCACAATTTTGTTCCTTTTTATGGCTGAGTAATATTCCATTGTATATATGTACCACATCTTCTTTATCCATTCCTCTGTTGATGGACATTTAGGTTACTTCCATGTTCTGGCTGTTGTAAATAGTGCTGCAATGAACATTGGGGTGCATGTATATGCCCAGGAGTGGGATTGCTGGGTCATATGGTAGTTCTATTTTTAGTTTTTAAGGAACCTCCATACTGTTCTCCATAGTGGCTGTATCAATTTACATTCCCACCAACAGTGTAAGAGGGTTCCTTTTTTCTCCACATCCTCTCCAGCATTTATTGTTTTTTGTTTTTTAATTTATTTTATTTATTTTTGGCTGCATTGGGTCTTCATTGCTGTGCGCAGGCTTTCTCTAGTTGCAGTGAATGGGGGCTATTCTTGGTTGCGGTAGCTTCTCTTGCAGAGCACGGGCTCTAGGTGCACGGGATTCTGTAGTTGTGGCTTGTGAGCTCTAGAGCGCAGGCTCAGTAGTTGTGGCGCACGGGCTTAGTTGCTCTGCAGCATGTGGGATCTTCCTGGACTGGGGCTCAAACCCGTGTCCCCTACATTGACAGTCAGATTCTTAACCGCTGCGCCACCAGGGAAGCCCTCCAGCATTTACTGTTTGTAGATTTTTTGATGATGGTCATTCTGACCGGTGTGAGGTGATACCTCATTGTAGTTTTGACTTGCATTTCTCTAGTAACTAGCGATGTTGAGCATGTTTTCATGTGTTCTTCCACCCATTTTTTGATTGGGTTGTTTGTTTTTTTGATATTGAGCTGCATGAGCTGCTTTTAATCCCTTGTCAGCTGCTTCATTTGCAAATATTTTCTCCCATTCTGAGGGTTGTCTTTTCATCTTGTTTATGGTTTCCTTATATATATTCTAGATACCGATACGTGATTAGCAGATACGTGATTTGCGAATATTTTCTCCCATTCCGTGATCTCCCTTGTTCCTTGTCAACTGTGTCTTCTGATGCACGGAATCTGTGGGCACCACTGCATTTTGAACTGGTGGCAAGTCGGCAGACAAGGTTAAGTTGCTCAGGTGCTTTATGGTGAGAGTAGTCTTCTAAGAGTTGCTTTAGGGGAATCGTCCATGTCCAATGTGGAAACAGTTGGCTTTTTGTCCAGACGTGCCTGACATAGTCTTGGGTTGCACCTCCTTTCCTGGTGTCCTGTCAGGTTTATCCTTTGTCCCAGACAGCAGTTTTCCGTTTGGACAGTGAATGTGTGATCACCCTCATTGCAGGGGTCCCGCCTCCATCTCTGGCCCCCGAGCCCACGGCCAGGAGCTGTTGACACAGTCTGAGTGGATCTGGCTGCTCTGTGCAGTGAGAACAGGAAGCCTCTCAAGCTGCTTGGTTGATTGTGTGAGTCATTCCTCTGTCAACCAGTCACTCTACTGCTGCAGGAACCCTAGGCCCTCTTGATGGGCCTGGAGATTTTCCAGGGCTCTGGTGGCGAGCCTGCTGTCACTTTTGCTGCAGTCCCGCCTCTGCCCCTATGTGAGTGTGTTCCGTGGTCCTGGTTTCTCATCTGCCCTACTCGATAAATCAAGAATTTCCTCAGAAACATTCCTGCTGTTGGTAACTTCTGTGTTCCAGTGCTTTTATGAGAACACTACTTTTACATTTCTTTGAATTGGGGTTTTTGGGTTTTTGTCTTGTTTTTGAGGCAGGAAAGTATTGGGTTGGCCAAAATGTTTGTTTGGGTTTCCTGAACGAACATTTTGGCCAACCCAATACTTGCATATGTTCGTTTACTCTCTTGAATTAGAGGCAACTCTTCCTGTCCAAAAGCTGCCCTCGAGAAAGTGCCTTCTTGGTCTCTGCCCTGTGCCAACCTCTTAAATATTGGTGCTGCTGCAGGTTTTGCCATGGGTACTTTTTACACTGCGTCCTCTTCTTTCCCCTGAATCCTGCAGAACACCCAGCCGAGCCTGCAGAGCCTAGTCTGCCAACATAAAATTAAAATAGTTTACTTCTCTCGTGTTAGACCATGCTCCACCTTGTATGTGTCACTCTGATAATACCTCGGGCAGTCTTTCAAGCAACAGATTTTCATTGCTGCCACAATAAGATGTTTGAGATACCGCTTGAAGGAAGTACTAGAAAACTTAGCCAAGCAGATGGCTCCAGGTAGCTGGCTGTAAGAATGGAGGGGCCAGAGGATGAAAGAGGTGAACCAGGATGGCCCGAGTCCTGGGCCGCGCCAGCATGAGAAGGGAGGGGGAGGGGGCCCAGCCAGCAGAGGCTGCTGAAGAGAGCGACAAGGAGAGAGAAATGTCCCTGTTCACTTAGCCAGTGTCTCCTCGCCCGGCTGTAAGCTCTTTGAGTGAGAGCCGGAGTGGTGGTTCATTAACTTATGTCCCCAGAACTCAGATACTTCAGTTGCAAAATTGGAGCTCTTTTTTTTTTGGTTTGAGAGGTTTTTTGGCTGGTTCGTTTGTTTGACACATTAAGGAACCCAAAGGCAGTGTGTTTCTAATATGGCTTGTTTTCCTCCCACGATCTGTAACAACAATGAGGTTTTCAGGGTCTGTAGTTGACTTTCCCAGTGAGCTGGGTGAGCTCTTGTCCCCATAAGTCTTCTCCACGTCACCCAGTTCCCATCACGGTGCCATTGCAGGGGCCAGTGTCATTCACGGACGTGGCCGTGGACTTCACTCAGGAGGAGTGGCAGCAGCTGGACCCTGATGAGAAGACAACCTACAGGGATGTGATGCTGGAGAACTACAGCCATCTGGTCTCCGTGGGTGAGGAGAGCCTGCTTTCTGAGTTGCTTCTCTGCGGGGGCTTCCAGTTTAAGGATTTTATGCTTGACTTCGAAGAAATCAGTGATGAGACTGTTTAATTTTTTCTGGGCACCAGATAAAGTATTTGTTTATTTGCTTATCGATCAAAAGGTTCTGATTTTGATTAGGTGCAAAATAGACACTTTATTTTGTGGCCTCTGAGGCAGCACCTTCTACTCAGAGACCCAGAGCCGAGCAGCAGGTCCAAGTTGGCTCTTTCTCATCCACAGGGTACGACAGCACCAAACCGAACGTGATCCTCAAGTTGGAGCAGGGAGAGGAGCCTTGGGTAGCAGATGGCGAGTTCCCACGGCAGTTTCACCCAGGTGAGGTGGTGGAGTGTGAATTTGTAAATGGTCGCTCCGGTCCTCTGGAGTGACCACAGATGCCCTAAATCTCACCTCCTGGCACCAATAGCACTTGCCCTCCACCATGTATGTGCACGCTCCCTTTCTGATTTTGCACCGGCCTTACATTTTACAGGATTTCCGTGTCTTCTAGGACTGAGGGTGCATTCACTCCCTCTTCCTCTCATACTGTCCGTGACTAACCTCCCTATTATCACAGAATTCCTTTGTTTTCAGGCACTCAAAAGTCTGACAGAAAAGTTAACTGGAGACTTTCCTGGTCATTCTTTTTATCTTCCATTTTCTTTCCTTCCTTGCTGTGAAACGCCTCCGGCTTGTGTTCCACCCCAGTTTCACGCCCCCCTCTAGGCCCTCAGACACCCAGCGTGGTCCCCTCCCTACGCTTGTGGGTCGGCCCCTCCTCGCCGTGGGTGCACTGGTCACTGTCCCTGAAGCCCATCCTCGGTGACACAGCACGAGTTGGGCCGTCCTCTTTCCCAAGTGCTCCTTCCTGTCCCGTCTGTCTGCCCATCCCTGTGTCGGCAGCAGATGTTCAGGAACAGTTTATTTCATCGGTGAATTCCCATTCTTCTCTGGCCTCCTCAGGAGCCCCTAGGACCTGTCTTCCACTTCTTTAGTCTTCTTTGTATCCCATAAAAGCGTTCATCTAGCCTCAACTTTGAAGACTTTTTTATTTATGTTGCTCATCCAAATTGATACCCAACATCTGTAACCTGTAGCCTCTTTAACTCTTACCTGACAGAACAATAGCACAGGAAGGATCGTCCACTTCCTTCTTCCTTAGCACATCTGATGATAAACTGACCTTTCCAAACCACGAATTCTGTGCATCTTCCCCAAGTCCCTTAATTTATTACGTTGTACTTGTCTTTTCTGCCTTGTTCCTGTTTTTTGTCTTTTATGAAATGCCTTAAAATTTTTCTGCATATTCTCAGTTTATTTTGACATTGGTGTAAACTATTTTTTCATACGTACCTGGATTACAGTGAATCCTATTTGGAAATTGCAAAATCTGTTCATTTGAAACATACAGTTGATCTTATCACTAGGCTCAGAAGATAAGCCTATAACTATTCTGTTTCTTCTTAAGTAGAATTTAAGTTCTCCTCAATCCCCCACAGTGTGGTGCAATGTTACGTATCAAAATGAATGTCCTGTTTCCCCCAACTCTTGTCAAATGCCATTTAGTCTAGATTTCTAAATGTCTTCCATTCAAACTAAGCAGAGTTGTCCCTGCTTAGTTGTCCCTCTGCTCTCCCAGATGATACATCTTCTTTCCCTCTGTTCTCCCTTCTTTCCTTCCTTAGTTGTAGTTTGGAAAAAAAAAAAAAAACCCATAAAATTTACCATTTTAACCATTTTTAAGTGAACAGTTCAGTGGTGTTAACTGTATTCACATTGTTATCCAACAGAATCTCTAGAACTTTATCCTTTAAATTTGACCTTGAAAGTTCAGCTCCTGCTTGAAGTTTCCCTCATTTCTCACTCTTCATCCAGTCTTTCCCTTCTCTTCACGGCCCCTCCACGTAGCGGTTGTTAGCACAGGATTGTGCACTCTGATGTGTAATGGCAAGTGTTTGTCGCTTAAGCTCCTTTCTCGACCTGAATTATAACCCTACAAAAAGGAAGGGTCTTAGTACTCTGCTTTTCTGTGTAACATGTAGAAGATACTCAGTAGATTTTTCATTTGCTCACTGAGGAGCTTCTTTTGAGAGAGAATTTATTCTGAACTGTGGATTCTGAAAAAACAGCTGGGGGTTAGAGTCTAACCTGAAAGCACCCCATTTGATTCAGATTAGAAACTACTACTTTAATTTCTATTGGACAGATTAAAAAAAATAGCAAGTGTGGTCATACTTTTGACAAGCAGAGGTTTGAGTTAGGAAAGGAGAGCACAGCTGCATGAACTAGTTTAAAATTAGCTTTCAAATGGAATGTTCATAATCAAATACATGATATATAACTTTGTGTTAAGGCTATTTTAAAATTTAAGGGAAGGAGAGCTTCAAAAAGTTGGAAAGAGACTTTATAAATATTTTAAGGCTTCTCCTGAAACATAGCTAGGTTTTGAGTACATACCAGGCTGGAAGTCAGGTTGAGTGAACAAGAGCATGTGCAGACTTGTGGTTGGGCGTGAGCAGGGCAGTGCCCAGGCTTCCTGGAGCAGAAGGTGTTTTTGGAAGATGAGTGCAATGCTAGTTTGAATATATATTGTGAATCTAGGTAATGAAAATTTTACTGGTAAAGGATAACTTTTTTTTTCCTGCTGGTATTTGGGCACAGGGATGTTGTAGATTTCTGAGCCCAGAACTGTTAGCGTTGTGTTGAATGTGGATGAGAGCAACTAAACATAGTTCAGAAGATCCAAAAACATGTAAAGTACATGGAAATAAAAGTTGATATTGTAGGGGCTACTTTAGAAATCTGATATTGAAGATTTTACACCAAATGAAACCTGAGAGTATGGGAACTCTTGTTTGTATTCAGACTTAAGCTATAGTATTATGTCAGGAACATGACTGGTTTTGGTAAATTTAAGTCAGCAGATTGAAAGAAAATTCACAGAAAAACTTACTGAGCATTTGTTTTGTGTCACTGTTCTAAGCATTAACATGTGCTAACTAATGTATCAGTAGTCTTTGCCCAGCCCTATGTGTTAGGAGCTCTTGTCCACATTTCAGGTGAGCAAAACTGCATCAGTTAAGTAACTTGCCCAGGTCCCCCAGCCTATGACGCATTGGAGTTGGGCTCCCAGTGCTTGTAGCCACTGTGCACTGTGTTGTAGACAAGTCACTTAGTGTTAAAGGAGACCACAGGACTCTCCAGAGAGCTGATCTTACTGGAGAGATTGGTCTACTTAGGTTTCTTTCAGACATTTATGTGCCTGGGTCTCTCCTTATAGGTCAGTGTAAGTCAGGGCAAGGGAGTTGGAGCCCTGGTTGTGGGACTGTCTCTAAACATGAGGAAATTGGAGCATTTAGAATGTTTATTTGGATTTATGTGCAGAAGAGAAAGGCAAGGATTTTGGAAGGGTCTAGGTTAGTGAGCATGTTACCATGCTAATCTTGGTATGAAGTGATATTATATGGTTTAATATACATTGTGATCTGTTTCTCCCAAACATAATCCATACTTGAATATTTCCTAGGATTATACATCCAGTAATTGTTCTTGCTTTCCCACGAATCCCACTTGCTCTCAGTCCTCCCATTTCAGCCTCGATCTGGGACCCCTTCAGTGACTTTGTCCTCTGCTCATCATTTCTTGGGTTTATTTCACGTTCCCTACCAAAGTTTTGAACATATTTGTAAAGTAACAAAGGTACTTGTGTTCAGTGTGAATTTACTCTTTCTTCTACTGCTGAGTCCTATCCTGCTCTCATCCCTTCCCCATCCCTCCCCCACCCCCCATGTCTGTCTGTTTGTCTTATATGACAAATCAAGGGGGAAAGAGAATTATATACTGATAATTTTATTTGTGGAGATTGACCCTAAAGCCAGAGTCAAGCCCACAGTAGGCCCTTGAGTACTGCTCCCATTCTATAACTGGTATGTTCAGATTCACAAGGTTTGTTTAATTTTATTCCTTTTTAGAAGAAGTCTGGAAAGTTGATGACCTGATGGAGAGAGCCCAAGAAAATAAAGATGAATGTTCAAGGCAAGCTGTTTCTATCAACAGCAGAACCCTGACTGAGGAGAGAGAGGTTGCATTTGATAAAACTTATAACATGGAAATAAGCCTTGTTCCTTCAAACCTAATGTCTCATAATTGTGTCTCATGTGGAAAGACTTTGGGATCTACTTCAGAATTAATTATTAGTGATGGAAGCTATGCAAGAGAGAAACCTGATGAGTGTAGTGAATGTGGGAAAACATTTCATGGAGAGAAACTCTATGAATTTCATCAAAATGGGGAAGCCTTTTCTCAAAATGAAGAAAGTATTCAGAAAATTAGTATTTTGGAGAAACCCTTTGAATATAATGAATGCACAGAAGCCTTAGACAATGAAGCTGTTTTCATTACTCATAAGAGAGCTTATATGGGGGAGAAGCCCTATGATTGGAATGATTCTGGATCAGACTTCATCCAGATGTCAAGTTTTAATGTATACCAGAGATCACAGATGGAATTGAAGCCCTTTGAATGCAGTGAGTGTGGGAAATCCTTCTGTAAAAAGTCAAAATTCATTATACACCAGAGGGCTCACACAGGAGAGAAACCTTACGAATGTAACGTATGTGGGAAATCCTTCAGCCAAAAAGGAACCCTCACCGTACATCGGAGATCACACTTAGAGGAGAAGCCCTATAAATGCAATGAGTGTGGAAAAACCTTCTGTCAGAAGTTACACCTCACTCAACACCTGAGGACTCACTCAGGAGAGAAACCCTATGAATGTAATGAATGTGGGAAAACCTTCTGCCAAAAGACACATCTCACCTTACACCAGAGAAACCATTCAGGAGAGAGACCGTATCCATGTAACGAATGTGGCAAATCCTTCTCCCGCAAGTCAGCCCTCAGTGACCATCAGAGAACGCACACGGGAGAGAAACTTTATAAGTGTAATGAATGTGGGAAATCCTATTACCGAAAATCCACCCTTATTACACATCAGAGAACACACACAGGAGAGAAACCCTATCAGTGTAGTGAATGTGGGAAATTTTTTTCTCGGGTGTCATACCTCACTATCCATTACAGAAGTCATTTAGAAGAGAAGCCCTATGAATGCAATGAATGTGGCAAAACCTTCAATCTAAACTCAGCCTTCATTAGACATCGGAAAGTACACACAGATGAGAAACCCCACGAATGTAGTGAGTGTGGAAAGTTCTCATATCTCACCAACCATCACACAACTCACTTAGGAGAGAAGCCCTATGAATGTAGTGAATGTGGGAAAACCTTACTTGAAAATTCAGCCTTCGATGGGCACCAGTCACTTCCCAAAGGGGAAAAGTCCTATGAATGTAACATATGCGGGAAATTGTTCTCTGAGCTGTCATACTATACTATACATTATAGAAGTCATTCAGAAGAGAAGCCCTACGGATGTAACGAATGTGGGAAAACCTTCTCCCATAACTCATCCCTCTTTAGACATCAAAGAGTCCACACAGGAGAGAAACCCTATGAGTGTTATGAATGTGGGAAGTTCTTCTCTCAGAAGTCTTACCTCACTATACATCATAGAATTCATTCAGGAGAGAAGCCCTATGAATGTAGTAAGTGCGGGAAAGTTTTCTCTCGGATGTCAAACCTCACCGTACACTATAGAAGCCATTCAGGAGAGAAGCCCTATGAATGTAACGAATGTGGGAAAGTCTTTTCTCAGAAGTCATACCTCACTGTGCATTATAGAACTCATTCAGGAGAGAAGCCCTATGAATGTAACGAATGTGGGAAAAAGTTCCACCACAGGTCAGCCTTCAATAGCCATCAGAGAATTCACAGGAGAGAGAATATGAACGTACTTGACATGGGAATGCTCCTCTGAAGTCAGATCTCACTTTAGAAAACCCTCTGCACATAATGAGTATGGGAAGTCAGTTGGGAGTCAGATATCACTGAGAGTTCATGTTTCTGAATGAGGAAAAGCATTTAGATGTTAGATTTATTCTAATCTGAATTTTCATAGAGAAGAATCCCTAAAACTGCAACAAGAAGCAAAGCCTTCAGCAAGACCCTACAACTCATTGGACACTAGACAGTTTATACAAGAGTGAAACTCTATAAATATTTAATATTTATTTTGGATTCCAATTATATTCACATATCAGGGAATCATACCAAGGTGAAACCTGTCAAAGTGATGAATGTGGAAAATACATTGTCATGGAAATTGTTATACTAAAAGCCATATTTCTGATATAAAATCAGATGTTTTAAGGAATGATATCAGAAGCTATCAGCTCTGAATAAACCTTCATTGCAGAAAATGAAATTTTAAAATCTTCTGGAGTTGATTATGAGGATCGTAGCATTAAATATGTATATGGCGGTTTCTATCACGTTTCCAAAATGTGATTAATTCTATGCAACTCTGCAAGTTGGGATTTGAATAATTTGTGAAAAGGCAGTATTCTTATTTGAGTATTAAGATGGCAAAATATACTAATGTAGGACATATTGTTGGTGAGATGTTTGATAGGTATAGAATAGTTAAATACATAGTTTTCTGTTCTTTAGAGGCATTTACAAATGGTTTTTAATGAGTGCTTCATCAAGAGAGGAACCAGTGACTTTTGTAAAGTTTCCAACTGCATTTGAGCAAAAAAGACTTAAAAATACTATTTTCATAAACTATGCATAGATGATTTGGAATCTAGTCTGTTCAGTGAAGGATGGCTGTACTGCTCATGCTCTATAACATAGGCCCAGCTCTCCTACCACTCTTGTTTTTTAACCCATAGGTTTGAGTGTGCAGTATGCCACTATTTTGTAATTCAGAAGTTTTACCTGTGCTTTTATTTGATGTGAATACGGTGTCATTATTTTGTGCATTGTCTCTTAGTCCCAGTATTTTGGAACAAATTAATGCAGGCTTCTAGCAGACATTTTTTGTTGATTAACCTCAGTGTCCTCCCTCTCTTTACTTGCTGGAAGAGTTTAGGTATCTACTATTCACAAGACACGGAGGGTAAATCCTGAGTAAACTAAACCAGTCATGCTAATTTCATTATGATTACCAGTAACTCGTTTATAGTGGTCACATGACCAAATCCTAGGTTAGCAAAACAGACCATTTCTGGAAAAAAGGTAGAACAGTGATCAAATGGATCTTACTCCAGGAATGTGAGGGTATTTTAATAATAAAAAAAAACCAATCACTGTAATATATCACATTGAAGAAAAGTAGTCTAGTATGCAGGAAACGTGGTGAAATCAACATCCATTTGTGTTCTTAGCAAACTATGGATAGAAAGGAACTTCCTTTATTGGCTAAAGAGTATCTTATACTACAACAAACAGTATATCAAACGGTGAAATATTGAAAGTTTTCTCCCAAGATCAAAAAAAGAGACAAGGTTATCTGCTATGACTAATTTTATTCAGTATTGTGTAGAAGGACCTAGCCAGGAAAGTAAGGGAAGCAAAAGAATGAAAAGGCTTAAGGATTAGATGAAGTAAAACTTTTATTTGCAGATGACGTGCTTTTATACATAGGAAATTCTAGGGAATATTCAGATAATTAGAATTGAGTAAATTGAGCAGAATCCCCACATACAACGTCATTATGCAAAAATTGGTTTTTAATATACCAGCAACGAACACAGAAAATGAAAAGTTTTAAAACAATGTCACTTACAGTGATATCAGAAATCCTTAAGTGCCTGGGGGGAAAATTACCTAACACTGTATTTTCAAGAATTGTATCCAGGGGAAAAAAAAATTACAGAACAGTAAGAGGGATATATCCTGTTCATGGATTGCAAGACAATCTTAAAAAGATGTCAGTTTTCCCCAAATTAATTCATATATTCAATGCAATCTTAATCAAAATCCTAGCAAGTTTTTATAAGTGAAACTTCTCAGATTCATGTGAAAATTCAGAAGACCAATAATAGTCAAAGCTATCTTCTAGAATAGAACTAGAGAACTTATAGTGCCAGATATCAAGAACTGTTACAAAGCCATAAAAATTATGATAGTGTGGTAATGGCACAAAGATAAACAAATTGACCAGTGGAACAGAATAAAGATTCCAGAAACACCCAAATGTAATTCAGTCACCTGACTTTTGGTGAAGGTAATAATGCATTGTAATGTGGGAAAGGTTCTTTCCACTAAATGCTCTGTCATCATTTAAATTTCATAATTTAATAGAAAATAGAAAAATGAGATGGAGTGCAGTTTTAAGTATGAAATGTAAAATAATAAAGCTATAAGAAGACTATAACTTTACAGCAAGCAGTTTTCTTAAGACCCAAAAAGCACTGAATCATAAAATAAAACTTGTTAATTTGAGTATATTACATTAAAGAACTTCTGTTTCTCAAAAAGCCACCATTGAGAAAGTGAACAGGCAGACCACAGAGGGGAGAAGATATTTGCAACTCAAATACATGGCAGCAGAATCGAGTGTAGAAGAGGGCTTGGTAAACGTTTTTGGTGAGGGGCCAGATAGTATTAATATTTGGGGCTTTGGGCTTCCCTGATGGTGCAGTTGTTGAGAGTCCGCCTGCCGATGCAGGGGACACGGGTTCGTGCCCCGGTCCGGGAAGATCCCACATGCCGCGGAGCGGCTGGGCCCGTGAGCCATGGCCGCTGAGCCTGCGCGTCCGGAGCCTGTGCTCCGCAACGGGAGAGGCCACAACAGTGAGAGGCCTGCGTACCACCAAAAAAAAAAAAAAAATAATATATATATATATATGTGGCTTTATGGGCTACACAGTTTCACTCACGATTACTCAACTTTGCTGTCGTAGTGTGAAAGCCATAAATAAGACAAAAACGAATGAACGTGGCTATATCCCAATAAGACTTTATTCACAGATACTGGTGGAGGACAGGATTTGGCCAGCAGGCCATAGTTGCTGACCCCTGATCTAAAATAGAAACACGTACAAATCTACAAGGAAAAAAAAATGGGCAAAAGACTTGGACGTCCACTTCATAAAAGAGGCTATCCACATGGCCAGTAAACATATGAAAAGGTATGTTAATTTTATTAATAATCTTGGAAAAGGTGGATTTAAAACCCTGTGTGGCACTACTGCCACCCTCTGAAATGGTTAAAATGAAAAGCATGAAAAAGCAAGATTTGGCAAGAATGTAACAGGAACTTGCCTACACTCCTGGTGGTATTGCCCATTGATAGAACCATTTTGGAAAGCTGGCACTTAGAGCAAACCTGTGTTAGTACCCTTTTAACAAACCCAAACCTAGCAGACGCATGAATGTGTCCACTGTGCATGTATATGTCCACCAAGGGACATGTCCTAGAATTTTCATGACCTAAAACTTCAAAAAACAACTCTGAAGGCACCTATGCAGTAGAACTTTGAACGTCAGTGGTGTGTTTCCGCCACAGAACACTCTAAGGCAAGGAGAATGAATGGGTAGTAAGCACAGGCAATAGCAGCTCAATTTCACAAAGAATGTTAAATGAAGGAATCTAGACACAAAAGCAAACAGGTAAAGTATAAGAACAGGTAAAACTTGGCTATGCAGTTAGAAATCAGGATAGCGGTTAGCCTTGGCCAGGGCTGACAAGGAGCATTCATCTGGTGCTGGTAATAATTGGTTTCTAAATCTAGGTGCTGAATATCTGAGTGTTCTGCACACTCAAACTTTGTGTGTTTTTCTGCATGTATATTACACTTACATAAAATGTTAACAATCAAGTGTCTACCATTTTTGTCGCTCAGCACTCTTGCCATATTTTTCTAGATGTATATGAGTATGCTGCATAACAGGAATTAACTGGTAGATTTTGCATAATTTTTGTGCAGGAAATACTCTTAGTTTTAATGGCAACTACTAAGATTTCCTACACTGACCGTAAAGCTTAGTATAAAGTATATTTTCAGTAAATATTTGAAAAGGTGACAGGGCCATTACATATGTTGTCATCCTACCGTTCTGTATATATAAATGCATCTGGCACATATAAATAGGTCTGGACTGCCTCTTCAATAAAGAACTGATGTGTGTAAACCTTTCATATTTTCTCAGGCGAATTGTTTTTTACATTCCTGAATTTGGGATGCATCTTAACCATCACACTGTCACAGAGGTGAGCTTTCTTTGAGGTTAAGTATAACGGTGAGTTGGATTTGATAAAAAAAATTTTAAGTTTTCAAGTTATCCTTTCAGCAAATTTAAAATAGGCAGTTAACAGCACAAATGTTAGTGAGTGAAGGATATAGTTAAGACCTTGCAGTATAAAATGTAAGAGCACTCAGCACGGGGAATGGGGGGTGCTGGCTGGGTTTATGGCACAACAGTGAGGAATTATGACATTTGATGGTGGGGACTATGTACTTAGTTGTTTTCTTAATATATATTTTAAATTTCATTTATTTTTATTTTTGGCTGTGTTGGGTCTTCGTTGCTGCGTGCAGGCTTTCTCTAGTTGCAGTGAGCGGGGGCTACTCTTCGTTGCGGTGCACAGGCTTCTCATTGCTGTGGCTTCTCTTGTTGCGGAGCACAGGCTCTAGGCGCACGGGCTTCAGTAGTTGTGGCACGTGGGCTCAGTAGTTGGGGCTTGTGGGCTCTAGAGCGCAGACTCAATAGTTGTGGCACACGGGCTTAGTTACTTCGCGGCATGTGGGATCTTCCCTGACCAGGGCTCGAGTCTGTGTCTCCTGCGTTGGCAGGTGGATTCTCAACCACTGCGCCACCAGGGAAGTCCCCCACCTAATCCCTGTAAAGAGGGGAAACGTGGCAATGACAGCGTCACAGTGTTCCCCAAATTAAGTTGTATGAAGGCCACAAAGAGAAAAGTAACCCTCCCCAGTCGCCACAGTGGTAATTATAACAAAAAAAATAAATTTTCTTTCACATTAAGGAAATCAACCCCCTTGTAGTTCCTGCCGGATTGGTGAACTGCCATTGAATGCTGACTTGTGAGCAAAGGGTATGGAGTGGAAACAGTGTCAGGAATCCTCCGAGGGAAGAAGGGACGGCTGTGCTCAGTGGAGGAAGATGTGGAGTCGGGACAGTGAAGAAACTGGTGCAAATAGCATGGCATCTGCCGAGCGCACCTTCACAAATGTTCTCTCCACACGTTAGCCCAGGGGAATCTGCCTGACTGATTGATCAGTGGGAGGGGAAAGCCAGCACTGAACCCCCAATCCTGTGGGGGGAGTAGATGAAACAAATATAGGGTGTTGAGACCTGTGTCAGAAGAAGTTTGATATTTTAGTGATGATTTTAAAGAAGCGGAGTCCTTTTGTAGCACGGTGTCGGGGAGGGGTTGACAGGCTCAGGTGGTCCATCCCTGCTTGGTTGTGTTCCTGCTGAGGCAGCTGTGTCCTCCACAAACTCACACTGAGAAGCGGGGCTAGGACTGGCCTTTCCTCCAGTCAAAAGTGCAGGAACTCCCAGGAGAAAGTGAGTTCTGGCAAAAAAAAAAAAAAAAAAAAAAAAACCCTGAGGACTTCAGCCACAGAAGAAAGACAAACAGAACCACCTGTGCTAAATAAATACCCTCAAAGAAAAAAGTGTATTGGTAAAGCGATGTGGAGGTAAACAGTTCAAAAGAAGGGAAATACTTAGTATCAACAATAAAAATTCAATATATTAGATGAGCCAGTGGTTAATGAGTGGGAGACACTGTGTAGCAAAGAGCTTTTGCAGAAGGCTTTAGAGAGAGTAAAGAAAATGTGATGTGAAAAGGTGAGAAGTAGAGATTTCAGCAAGACACCCACAAATGAAGGGGAGGAGCTACATGGAGGGAGGGGAGTGACCATTTTATGTAAGTGAAAAACCCAATATGATGTCAAATTAAAAGAACAGTTGGAGCTCCAAACAGGAAAGATACTGAGATATCCATGTCATTAAAGTGAAATTTAAGAATATCAAAGATAAATTTTTGAAGGCTTCTCTAAAGAGGCAGTCACCCTAAAGATAACAAGCAGATGCCTTGTCTTCCATGTTTAGCCATGATGGAGTAACAGGAAACAGATTTACTCTCCTGACTACATAACTGAAAAATTGGACAAAATAGATGAAACCATGGCTCTCTGACACTGGACATCAGGCAGGACAGTGATCCCTGAGAGAAGAGAAACAAAGTGGCCCCGAGGCCACAGTGCAGGGAAGAGAACCCGAAGCAGAGCTGGGTGGCCTCCCCCCGAGTTGAGAATTCAGGAAGGCTGAGGAGCTAGAAGTCAGGGCAGTGTGAACAGGAGAGAGCTGCGCAGGGCTCTGGGATCCTAACACTGGAGAACCCCAAAACTCCAAACACAAGGGCGTTGGGGGCTCCATTCTGGGGCAGGACTGCTCAACAAATAGAGGTGTGGCTCTGGTTTAGGGGCGTGGCCTGCTGTGATAGGGCGTGGCTTTGTCCTGGGGGGCAGGGCCTTTGTAGAGTGGTGGGGTGGGCGTAACAGTGGACAGGACGTGGCTCGGGCCAGGGGTGCGGTCAGCAGTGGAGCTTGGCTTGGGCTCAAAAAGGTGCAGCTGCCACTCCTCAGGCGAGAACTGTTTGGATCTATGAGTCCTTGGGGGGCCAGAGGCCAGTGACCGGAGGACACGGCAGGCCTGTGGGCAGGCCTACGGGCAGGTGAAGAGTGACAGACCTGTGTGTGAGGCACCGGGCACGTGGAAGGGGGAGGGGATAGAGAGGGGAGTACAGGGGCGAGGGTGGGGATGGAGGGGACAAAGGGCGGGGCCCCTGACCACCCACAGCTCGCACCCTCCCAGCTGCCCTGCCTGCCTGGCCACGTGGTGCCCGCTGCTGCTGCTCCCGGGCGCCCCTGTCCCCACCGCCACTGCCGCTCCCATCCCAGACGCCAAAGCCCAGGACAGCCTGCAGAGCCTCCAGCAAGGTTGAAGCAGCCTCTTGTTGGGGGCTGGGGAGAGGAGGACGGAGAAGAGGAGCAGAGGTACACAGCAAGAGAGGAAGCCAGAGGGACACCGGGAAGGGAGAGACAGAGATATAGGGAGGGGGCCCGAGGGACAGAGACAGGGAGATACAGCAGAACAGACGAGGGGCAGGAATAAGGAAATAATGGGACAGAAAAGAGATGGGACAGAGGGGCAGGGACGGATAAGAACGGGACAGGATTGGGTTGGGGTGGACTGGTTCAGCCCTGAGGGTCAGAAGATGGAGGGGGAGGGAGTCGAGGGGATATGGGGACAGGTCTGGAGGGGCATCCGAGACCCACACACCACCTGCTTCAAGCCCTGGGGGGACCTGCCCTGGGGCTCAGTGCCTCTCCAGGAACTGCACAGCACAGAGGACCAGGGCGCCGGCTGGGGAGCCGCACCCTTCCAGCAACACCTGGAGCCAACTTGTTCTTCCCCAGGTACCCAAGCTGGAGGAAACAGCGCTGCGGGCAGCTGCAAGGCACATCACTCACTCCCGCTGTCCTCCCGCGGTATGAGGTGGCTGCCACAGCAGTGCAGCCCCAGAGCCTGGGAGGCAGGCCTGTGGCTCTGTGAGGAGCATCCCGGGCTACAGGCGGGGCGACCTGGAGCCTCCCCAACCCCAAATAACACCCACCCAAGACCCACTTCTTGTCCCTTCCCAGGCTCAGGAGCAGGGGCTGGGGGTGGGCAGGGGACAGACGTGTACCCTCACCAGACCCCACCCCCAGCTCCATTTAGTAATAAGTTTCTTTCTTACAGCCAGCTATGGAGTTTCCTTTTCGGGCCAGTCTCCAATGTGTAGCCGTCTAAAACAACTTCTTTACTTTTACCTAATCCCTTTTGGAATTTCCTGAGGCAGGAACTGGGCTCTGTTGCATGAGGCTTACCAGAGAAGAGTGGCTCACATTTGATTCTCAAATACATTTTGTTGTGGAGAATGGAGGTCACATAGCTGCGTCCCCTGGGTGCTGTCTGGAGGGACACGCTCCCTGATGCTCCAGCCCCAGGCTCACCTTGAAAGTCGCCTAAAATGATGATCATATGGGACTGTTTAAAAATGCTGAGTCCTTATAAGTGTCCTAATGCTGAAAATTGAATATGACACACATAGATGGGTGTTGGGCAGCACAAATATTGAATAATATCCCCTAAATTGAGAAGAAACTTTTAAGACCAAAGACAAAGCAGGCAACCCCATAAAGTACAATTATGAAGTTCGTTGTGGGTAACTTACCTACAGTCAGGATCAGGCAGACGAGTATCCGGAGGCATTTGCAGCTAAACTCTGTGCTGCTGAAAGGGGTACAGGGGGATTTACAGGGGCCAAAGCTAAAATTAGAATCTGACAACCAAGGGAGATGCACGGTGGCACTGATGGGAAATGGGTTTTTTTCCCCCCTTGGGGATCTCGTGACCATTAACCATCTGTGCCAGCAAAAGGCATTCTTCCAGTTTTCATATCAGATGAAGGCAAGGGTAAATATGGAGCTTACCTGGCGGGGGTGCATTCCTTGTGAGTGGGCTAAAGCTCAGGCCAGGGACGGGGTTGCGGGGGGGGACTGCGGGCCCGAGATGGAGCTGACAACATGGGGTCAGTGTGATTCTGATGCACAGTGGGTCATCACGAAGGAGGACACTTGCTAAAATTAAGTTTTGAGGTTAAAGAAATGACAGATTCCTTGTCAGCTCTGTCCTGTGTTCTGGGGTCCGACGTCGGGCGCAGGCCGTGGGGCCGTCTGGGCAGCACAGGCACGTCCAGCTGTGCGGCGGCTCTGAGGGTCCCAACCATTGTCTGGAGAGGTCCCTACTCCATCCAAGCCAGAGGAGATGGCCCACCGTGACATCTGTCTTCAGGTGGTGGGGCAGGATGGGTGCATGGGCATCAAGAAAAGGGGCAGGGGGCAGAGCTGGAGGCCAGAGAGGGAGGACGTGCAGACAGCCGGGCTGGCATAAAAAGGCAAGATGGGTGGGCGTGACTGGTAATTATAAACTGGCTCACGAGGGTAGGGGTGCAGCTGGTGGGGGTGTGGGTGCACCAGGGGCCTGGAGTGAGCATGCCTAACAAAGATATTGTGCAGCAAGAAATGGGGCCCAAATGGTGCAGGGAAGCCTCCAGAAGGTGTGATGGTTGCCCTGCCCCCGTCTTCAAAACACAGCGTGACTCAGGTTGTCTCCAGGACCCCAGGCTGACAGAACCATCCAATCAAATGTCAGCTCCTTCTGCCGGCAGAATGCCCAGCCAGTAACCGCAGGCCCTGGTATTGGGACCCTTTATATCTTTGGGGCATGTGCCCCAAATCTCCAGACAGACGAGGGGGTCCAGCAGCTGGTCCATCCTCTGTGCCTGGACTTTGTGCTACTCCACTGCCCACAGCGCCTGTTTCTGTCCTCGCCTCAGCCCATCAGGAAAGGAATAAAGTGAGACATCATTCCAGAGTCAAGAAGAAGATATGAAAATTCTGTGCCAATACATTTGATAAAATGCACAGCTTTCTGGAAAACACAACTTACTGAAACTGTAAGTTTAAAAAAGTTTTAAATTTGTAAAAATTTACAAATTTCATCTGTAGTTTAAAATTTTCCCACCAAGAAATCGAAAGGCTCAGATGACCTCATTAGTAAATCCTTCTGAACACTTTAGTAAAATATTAATGGCAATTTTATACAGATTCCAGAGAATAGGAAACCTGTGTTTGGAAGCCAGAATAGCCTTGTTGCAAACCCCAAGAACTAAATTTTGAGAAAGGAACAATTTTCAGTCCAATATCTTTCATGAACATAGATGAAAAGATCTTAAACGAGATATTAGCCAAATCAATCACTGTCTAAGGCAGATAATTGTGAGAACGATGGCTTAATCACATAGAAAACCTCAGCCCCAGGTTGCCGGGCACAGAGCTGTTCTGGTGAGTATACAACAAAGTAGGATCCAGCAACTGAAGGCAGAATGTCACATGGTGTAGAATTCAGGGCTGAGTCAGTTCAGTTAGGCATCATGTTTAATTCAGGGAAAAACGAGATTCAGATGAAATATTAATTTTGCACGGGTAAGGAAGAGGCAGATCCACGACAGATACTCTTTTCTTCTAGTCTGGCTTTAATCTGCTGCAAGACTCAGATTTGCTGACAAGTGCACCTCAAAAGCTTCATTTGTGGTTGGAGGCACCAGCCCTGAGGACCTCATCCAGCGTGGAGCCTGGGGGAAGGAATCCACAAGCCACTCGCCAAGAGGCCAGGCCACGGGTGTCCCTCCAGAGGGAGAAGCAGGTACTACTGTCGACTGCTGATGGATGACTGATTTGCAATCCCTTCTTCCCGGATGATGTGTTCTAGAACCTGCTTGGTGTGTGTGTGTGTGTGTGTGTGTGTGTGTGTGTGCGCGCGCGCGCGCTCTCAAGAGGAAGGGGAGGGACTTCCCTGGTGGCACAGTGGTTAAGAATCCGCCTGCCAATGCAGAGGACACGGGTTCGAGCCCTGGTCCGGGAAGATCCCACATGCCACGGAGCAACTAAGCCTGTGCACCACAACTACTGAGCCTGTGTGCCATAACTACTGAGCCCGTGTGCCACAACTACTGAAGCCCACGCGCCTAGAGCCCGTGCTCCGCAACAAGAGAAGCCACTGCAATGAGAAGCCCATGCACTGCAACGAAGAGTAGCCCCTGCTCGCCGCAACTGGAGACAGCCTGCACGCAGCAACGAAGACCCAACGCAGCCAAAAGTTAATTAATTAATTAATTAATTAAAAAAAAAAGAGTAAGGGGAAGCAGGTTTGGGGTTTGGTCAGGAGTGGGGAAACTGCTTTCTGTGGGTGGAGGTGGTACCCGAGGCTGGTAAAGCTGAGGGGCAGCGAGGCAGTGGTGTGATGTTGAGTGTCAACAACTGGCTCTCTGAGTGAACGGAACCCCGACTGGTAGTGTTTGCCAATTTTCACAGTGTAAATAATCCTACTCTGGCTGATCTAAAGATACCGCTGTGATGTGTACCTTCTGCTTCTCAGAAGAGACAACTCCCTCTTCCCCCTGAGCTCACTGTTGCACACAATCAATGACTTTCAGGTCAGTGGCCTGCAGCTCTTCAGTGTAGTTGTTTGTGGCTTCGGCTATCTATGCCTTTTTTCACTAAGGTGGTACTATATGCTATCCATAATTTCCATTCACCATATTTGGGATGCATGATGCCCAGTTATCTGAGGAGGACATGCCAAGTGTTCTATTGTTTTGGGGTTTTTTTTTTTGCAGTACACGGGCCTCTCACTGTTGTGGCCTCTCCCGTTGCGGAGCACAGGCTCCGGACGCGCAGGCTCAGCAGCCATGGCTCACGGGCCCAGCCGCTCCACGGCATGTGGGGTCTTCCTGGACCGGGGCACGAACCCGTGTCCCCTGCATCGGCAGGCGGACTCTCAACCACTGCGCCACCAGGGAAGCCCCTGTTCTATTGTTTTATTTCCGAAAATGTGTTTCACCGCTGGGATATAAATTGGGATCTGGAAAAATCTTATGCTATTGGCAACATTTGTCTCTCCTCGTGTTTCCAGAAAGGGATTTTCATGCCTCTGAGGAAGTACAGAAGGTCTCTCCACCCCCTTCGCCCCCTGCTCACCTGGACTCACAGTATTTGTGAGTTTGGAGGAGGCGCTGAGTACGCTGAGCCGACCCCACCCGGTCTCTCCGGGGCAACCTGTCCTTAGGTCCTTCTTTCCTTCACAGAAGACACCTGTGGCTTTCCAGTTCACCTGTGGCTGGCAGGTGCAAAGTATTGGGCAACCCACATGGCCCCAGATCTAGATCATTCCTCCAATTCAGAGTTATTCTTAATAAGGCTGATATTTTCACGTCTGTGTGTCTGACTCCTGTGTGTGTCTCTCAGTGAATTACAAACTTCGGATGGGAGGAGAGCAGTGTGAACTGCCCTTTCAGAAGCCCCCAAATCTGTAGTTCTATTCACTTCCTGCATAAGTAAGTGTATGTGTCAGCTTGGGTATCTCTGCTCTTTTTATTTCATCCCACCACCTCCAGAGAATGGTGCCCCAGCTACAATCATTTGCACGCAGAATCTGCAGGATGCAGCATCTAACCTCCCCCAACCTACCAGCCAGCCTGGGACAGGCGTATCTCCGTTCGGCCTGAAAACCTGCAACACGGAATTTGTTATTTTTTAAAAAGGCTTAAACCCCAAGGATAAAGGGAACATAAAAAGAGTTGAAAGCAGGAACTCCTCTGGTGGTCCAGTGGTTGACTCCATGCTTCCACTGCAAGGGGCGCAGGTTTGGTCCCTGGTTGGGGAACAAGGATCCCACGTGCCTCTCCCTTCGGCCGGGGGCGGGGTGGGGGGGGGGGGGGAGAGAGTTGAAAGCAGAAGAGAGAGGTCCACACCATGTTAGAAGAGCAAGGATGTGCTGATGGGCATTGCCTGAGCCGAGCGAACAGGACGGGAGCGTAAGTTCCTGCAGCAGAGCAGAGGAGAGGGCTCAGGGGTTGGGGGACCCAGGGACCTAGTGGGGGGAGATGAGGAGTGAGGCTGATAACAGGAGGGCTGGATAAACTGAGTGGAGAGCAGTGAGACGTCAGGACCCCCTCAAACCCTGCACAGACACTCGCCCCAGCCTGAGATGGAAGAGAAAGCGGCTCTGCGCTTGGAGGTGGTGGCACAGGTGAAGGACTCGAGTGAAGACAGGGCCTTCACGGGAAAGCTGCACGCCCAACAGTGAGACCACGACCGCCCCCTGAGCGGAGAGCACCCGGCAGGAGAGCGCAGGATTCTCCGTGGACAAACCGGCCCACGCGGGGAAGCCGGCTGCAGTGGGAGCGCCGCGTCCCTGGGGAACGTGCAGGCAGCCCTTCCCTCTGGCGGCAGCGCTCGGAACTGCACCGCCAACTCGCGTGCTTTCCTCCCGGAACTGTTGCGACCCCGCCGGGGCCGCTGTGTGTGGGGACCTGGGGACACCCCCAGTCATGAGCGCCCTGTGGGCTACCAGTCTAATGAGGAGACAGACAACACTTTGATGGAAAACAATTACTGCTGTGAAGGGAGCAAGGGTCTCAGGGAGGTGATAAGGGAGGGACCGGCTGAAGACCAGGGACGTTTGATGTGGTTTGAAGGATGGCCTCTGGGTTCCGGAGGCTGACCTTTGTCCCCAGGGCTACCCAGGCTGGGGAGCAGAGGTTTTAGACGGGCTCCCCATTCTGGTCTCCTCCTCCTCCTCGTCCCAGGCTGTGAGTGCTGGGCTGTGGGTCCCCTGGTGTTGGGGCCTCTGGGCTGCCGCTGCCCGGGGCCTGGGTTCGTCTTCCTCAGAAAGGTTTGAGGGGTTGAGGTCTGGATCCCCGGCTCTGAGCGCTTGGGTCTCGACCAGGGGTTCTGAGCTCAGGTTCCCTCGGGCTGAGCCCCGGGGGCAGGTATGGATGGAAGGTGGCGGCTGTGGGATGCTGGGACCAGCAGGCACGGTCTGCGTGGCAGGAGCCGTGGGTGGGGCAGCCAGTTCATTCGCAGGGCGACCTCGCCCTCCTGTGTAGAGCCTGGCCTGTGCCTGCAAATTCTGGGGGCAGGGGCAGGGCCCCTTGAAGCCACACGAGGGCCACCCACAAGGGTTCTTCCTCCTCAGGACCTGCCCCCGGGATCCCTGGTTTTACTCACCCACCCGAGTTGGTCCCCAACGAGAGTCCTTCTGCCCGGTGTCCTATGGAGCCAAGAAAAGGAGACTAAAGTTCCGTTCAGAAGCACAGAAAAGCTTTATTCTTTGATCAAAGAATGGAGAGGTGTGAGCTCGGGGTCTAGGGTACCTGCCCTCGCCCAGAAGCCGAAAGGCCAGGGTAGGGGCTGCTTTGTAGGATTCTTGCATTGGCGGGATGCGGGGAGGGGTGGTCGCAGCTGTGCTGCTCACGGCTCCAGATTGCACTCTTTTACACTGGGAACTCTGGTCTGAAGTGCCAGGTGCCAGGCCTCTGCCCGCGGCACCCTGTGAGCAAGTGAAACTAGACTAAGCACAGAGAGGGAAAAAAAACCTTTATTTTATTACCCAGATTCTATTTTTATTTCCCAGGAATTGTTAATGGGCTTTTGCTGGTGCCACTTGTGATGCCGACCCAGGTCCTTGGACCCTTTAATCAACAGAAATTTTTAAGAGGCCGGAAGAGGAATTCCGGCAAAGCTTTCTTGGGATTCGCGCTGCAGCACGAGGGAGTGAAAACAAGTAACCGGTGCCCTCGCGTGCTCTCCAAGAAGGGTGGGCGGGCTCCTGAAATGGGATGAGGGTGGGGGAGGATCGGTGGGTCTGCCGGGGAGGCGGCGGCTTAGGTGGGCTGCCCACCCCCTTGGTGGTGCAGGGAACATGCCCTGCTTTTGCTCCAGCCACCTCAGAAGTGGCAGTTGGTTTGTGGCCTTTTTGTATCTCATTGTTCCTAATTTGCCCCATCTGCGCATGCCTGCAGTTATTTTTAGTCCCTTTTAGTTTCTTTGTATTCTGTTGCTTGAGGAGACCTTTGTCCAGGTGCCAGCCCTGCAGCAGAGGGTCCCAGCCTAGATCCCTTGAGTCTGGGGAAAGCAGGAGCTGAGTTAAGGGTCTTGGGGAGAGTGTTTTCTTTGCCCAACGCACAGCAAGTCAAACAGTGAGGAGTGAGGTGCACAGCAAAGAAAACGTTTGTTTATTCAGGAGGCCAGCAGGTGAGAACAGGAGAACAAATCTCAACCCGCCTCCCTGAAGGGGAGGGGCTCAGGATATTTAGGGAATAAAGCTGCCACGTGGGGAGTCACCTGGGGAAAGGTGATTGGAGATAAGAAAACTGTGAGGTCACTGTAATTCTGCGCAGGTTAAGCTAAGCTACAGGCTTCTTCATGGAAGGAGAAGGGCGGCTCCAGCACGTTCTGAGGGTGGAGTTCTCCACCCTCTGACGTCAGAAGGCCACACGTCAGCTGCTCGCGCATGCCCACGTGGGGGGGGTCAGTAGTCTCAACCAGTCTTAACCGGCTCAAGCTCGAGCTAGACACTGCCGACTTCAAGTGCCTGAGAAACAACTTGGGCAAACATCTTATTGTTTAGGCCACTTGGAGGACATGCAAGTTTTTTTGTAGCAACAGTTAAAGCAAGCTTGATGCTGACGTCAGTACAGTTCATTATTTATTAAGCAAGTTATAGCTTAATGGATCTGATGACTGCCCTCAGTTTCAAAAGGAGTGGACCCTCTTCTCACTGATGCCATGGACCAGCCCTGAGACAGACGGAGATGGAGGTGAGAGTTCCAGACTCAGGACCTGTGTCCAGGAGACCCCTGTGTCACCCCCAGGTCAGTCTGCCCTGGAGAGAATCCTAGAGCCCCTGGAGAGGATGGACTGGGCTTGGGACTCAGGATAGCGGCGGTGGCCCTCTGGGAAGCGTGGGGGAGAATTGGGAGCCCAAGGAGGCCCCTCCAGCTGGAGAACATTCACAGTTCAGGAGTAAAGCAGGCTCACCCCATCCAGCCCTGACTCTGGAGAAGCAGGGTAAGGTCCGGTGTTGGAGGATGGGTGTGAAATGGAGGACAGTGCAGGCACAGACACCTGGCTCGCGTCCTCCCCCAACATAGTCTCTGCTGAGATGTGACTGCTCCCTTCTCAAATGCGGGGTCTCCATTTCCCCATCTGAAAAATAGGAACAGGAGTAGCACCTCCCACAAGAGGGGGCTCCCCATTCCCTTGGGCTGCTATGTTTGTTTCATAAAGTTTTTTTTTTTAATTATTTATTTATTTATGGCTGTGTTGGGTCTTCGTTGCTGCATGCAGGCTTTCTCTAGTTGTGTTGAGTGGGGGCTACTCTTCATTGCGGTGCACGGGCCTCTTGTTGCGGTGGCTTCTCTTGTTGCGGAGCACGGGCTCTAGGCGCACGGGCTACAGTAGTTGTGGCTCACGGGCTCTAGAGCGCAGGCTCAGTAGTTGTGGCGCGCGGGCTTAGTTGCTCCGCCGCATGTGGGATCTTCCTGGACCAGGGCTCAAACCCGTGTCCCCTGTATTGGCAGGCTGATTCTTAACCACTGCGCCACCAGGGAAGTCCCGGGCTGCTATGTTTGATAGGAGCGTGGAGCCTGGGCATGTGAAGAAGGGGTGTGCTAACCAACTTTTATAGATGTTATCATAGATGATTTGGCATCTTCTGATCACAGGGCCAAACTACTGGCCAAAGGTGTTTTGTGATTTGGCTCTTGTGGGCATACAGGGCACGATGTGTCTCTGGTTTGGGGGAGCGGGGGACGTTGAGTAATGAACCCTATTAATAAATTTCCAGAGCCTTCCTTGGGGGCTTCCTGAGGACCCCTGGAGGAGGTGCCTCCAATCCGCCACGCCCCACCCCAAGAACAGCGCAGAGCCCCACCCTCTGGCGGCAAAGTGTGGAGTTGCGTTTTCCCAGCATCTCTCCACCTTGACCCATTTGGCAAAAGCCCTTGCTCTGTCCTCCGGGCTGGGAGGACTGTGCTCCCTCTCTAATCTAATGAAGTCTCTGACCCAAAGGGCTCCACCAGGCAAACGTGAAATTTGAGAGGCCAGTTTGTAGGGACAAGTACCACATTTCATTCCAGAAAGTTACAGCCCCACCAGCTGTGTGTGAGAAACCCCACTGGCCCACTCCAGATTTAGAAACTTAAAAAATTTTTTGCCAATATTTTTGCAAAAGCAAAATATTTTAATTTTTTTGACTTATTGAATCAAGGGTGAATTTGAGGGAATGAGCACTTACAGAATGGAAAAATAAGGACCTCTGAAAATCTTTTATAAAAGCAACAGAAACATTGGCAAAAATTGTCAAAATCTATCAATAGTTTTCCAGAACTTTGGAATTTAGCCAAAGGCTTGCAACAATTTGGAGGGTTTTTTTCAAGAAAATGGCTGAATATCTATGAGGACAGTGAACTTTGGGGCACTTTAACTTGCACTATTTCCATCCCCCTCTCCCCAGCTTTGTGGCGGCCTTGAAAACTGATGGCCACAGAAACACAGTAGCTGTGAAAACCAGCAGCCTGGTTGCCACCGGAGGGAACCAAATGGGTTTGAAGCTCCCGAAAAGCCTCATCCCTAGAACATTGTCAGTATTTGATCTGTATGGCGAAGCCCTAGAAAGCTCCATTCACAGGAATTGTCTTTATTTGCCCTGATTAAGAGCTCACTCTGAGAGTAAAGGTCTATCCCCTGGGCATTTGTCAAAAACAATCAGTGGCCATTGATTAACATTATAGCTATCTGAGGTGATATCAGTTAGGGCAAACAAGAGGCTGGCCACAAAACTTACAAGGAAAATTTCGGGAATGAGAAGCCTGTGTGGGGCTTTGAAAGGATCTGATGTATTTTCCCAGGGATCTAGAAGATCATGCCCATGCATAGGACTGTGCATATGCCCAAGAAAATCCCTAGACAGCTTTAATCACTCACATCTGGCTGGCCTTGAGCTGCTGAGCAAATAGGGAGTGCCGACTAAGGCAGAGCTGTGGACTGCTGGGGCATTGAAGGTGGTCCTAACACACAGGGGCCCCTTGGTAAAGCCTGGGAGACTTATTGGTTTAAGGCATGTAAGGAAACCTCTGTCCCATCATTAACTGAAAGCTAAAATAACTGAGCAGAGACTTCACACAAAAAGAATACAGACTTTAGAGACTTCCCTGGCAGTCCAGTGGTTAGAACTCTGAGCTTCCAAGGCAGGGGGTGTGGGTTCAATCCCTGGTCAGGGAACTAAGATCCTACATGCCATGTGGCACAACAGTTTGGAGTCTTTTCTTTTTTTTTTGGCGGTACGCGAGCCTCTCACCGTTGTGGCCTCTCCCGTTGTGGAGCACAGGCTCGGGACGCGCAGGCTCAGCGGCCATGGCTCACGGGCCCAGCGGCTCCGCGGCATGTGGGAGCTTCCTGGACCAGGGCACGAACCCGTGTCCCCTGCATCGGCAGATGGACTCTCAATCACTGCGCCACCAGGGAAGCCCAACAGTTTGGAGTTTTTTGTTTTTTGGTTTTCTTAAAGAAAATGGGAATACAGATTTTATAGAATTAGTCAAAGAAAATCAGCAAATAACAAACAGCACAACAACAAAGGACAAAAACAAACTGAGGAGGGAAAAGGGAATCTGATTACTAGAGGTGTATATTATTTAAAATGTTCAGTTTTATGAAAAAAGAGCGGGGTGGGGGAGACATGCAAAGAAACAGAAAAGTGTGGCTCATACACAGAAAATAAAAAAGCAGTTCATGGAAACTGGTCCCGAGAAAGCCCAGATGTTGGATTTTCTAGACAAAGAGTTTAAATAAGCCATTAAAAATATGTTCAAATAAGGAAATTACAAAACCTGTGTTGATGGGCTCATAAGATGTAATTTGTATGACAAAAATAGCACAAAGGAGGGGCAGGTGTATTGTAGGAGTGTTTTTGTGTACTGTTGAATTAGGTTGGTAGTAATTCAAGCTAGACTGTTTTAAATTAAGATTTTTTTAAAAAATTATTTATTTATTTTTGTCAGTGTTGGGTCTCTTGCTGTGCACGGCCTTTCTCTAGTTGGAGCGAGCGGGGACTACTCTTTGTTGCGGTGCTCAGGCTTCTCACTGCGGTGGCTTCTCTTTGTTGCGGAGTGCAGGCTCTAGGTGCACAGGCTTCAGTAGTTGTGGCACGCGGGCTCTAGAGCGCAGGCTCAGTAGTTGTGGTGCATGGGCTTAGTTGCTCCGTGGCATGTGGCATCTTCTCGGACTAGGGATCAAACCTGTGTCCCCTGCGTTGGCAGGCAGATTCTTAACTGCTGCACCACCAGGGAAGTCCCTAAATTAAGATGTTATTTGTAAGTTACAAATGGTCCCTGACGTACAATGGTTTGACTTACAATTTTCTGATTTTATGATGGTGTGAAATCAATACACGTTCAGCAGAATTTTGAGTTTTGATCTTTTCCCAGGGTAGCAACATGTAGCATGAGACTGGGCAGTGGTGGCGAGCCACCGCTCCAGTCAGCCACACAATTGCAGTCATGATGGTAAGCAACCAATATACACTTACAACCATTCTGGACACATACAACCCTTCTGTTTTTCACTTTCAGAATAGTATTCAGTCAATTACATGAGATATTCAGCACTTTATTATAAAAGAGGCTTTGTGTTAGATGATTTTGCCCAACTGTAGGCTAATGTAAGTGTTCTGAGCCCGTTTAAGGTAGGCTAGACTAAGCTATGATGTTCAGTAGGTTGGGTGTATTAAACACATTTTCGACTTGCAATAATTTCAATTTAGGATGGGTTTATCAGGAGTAACCCCGTCAAAAAACATCTGTATAACTCAATAGCATTTTGAGTGCCATATGTATCACTGTACTGCAACATTTTTTAAAAAAACAGCTCAGGATATAGTCGTGTTTCCTATTTCCCAAGCGGCTCCAGGGACCTAGTCCTGTTTCCTATATCGCTGGTGGCTCCGGGGATGTGGTCATGCTTACTATATCCCAGTGGCTCCTGTGATATAGATCCAGTCTGTAAAACAAGAAAAGTATATTTTAAATACTTTTAAGACTGAGTGGAGCAAAGATTATTTTGTTATTGATTTAGGTGTCAAAGTATTGTGTTTATTATGTAATGACACCATGGCTGTGCTAAATACAATATCATCGACATTACTGGACTAAACAGTCATTGCAGTGTTCCCAATTCACAGGAAGCATAAGTAAGAAAAATTAGAAAGTTTTAAAGAGAATAACTTAACACCAGAATTCCTTCACAAAAATAAAAAGTTAAAATGAGGCTGCAGCTAAACTAAGTTTCTGAGTGGCCGATTTATTCTCCAAGCAAGGAAAACCACTTACTAATGGTGAGTGAATTAAATCCTAACAGAGGCAGCTGAAAAAATATGTACAGAGAAAATAAACACGTTCTAAAACTTTTCATTTTTTTGGTCTTTGAAAGATTGAGGACATTGATAGCAACATCAATAGTCAATTTTAAAACAAGACAAGTGATTTTGAGTGATTTTCCTTGTCTTTTGATGAGTTGACAGTTGTTGCTAATATTGCTCAGTTCATTGATTTGTTTGAAAAGTCAGTGCCAAGTTTGAAATGATTGAAGAATTAGCCTCTATGAATAGCAAGGAGCAACTGCAGGTTAGAATATTTTCAAAGAACATGAAGTTCAGAAGAGCCAATGAAGTTCACAGTTGACACTACTGTTTTATAACATATGATAGGTTGAAATATTTTTCAAAAAGTACCTGCTGATAAATAATGCAATTAATAACCGTAGACTTTAATTGGATTATTTGTTTGCTTGTTTTTGATATTGAGTTGTATGAGCTGTCAGTATATTTTGGAAAGTGACTTTTTTTTTTTTTTTCTGGTACGCGGGCCTCTCACCGTTGTGGCCTTTCCCGTTGCGGAGCACAGGCTCCAGACGCGCAGGCTCAGCGGCCATGGCTCACGGGCGTAGCCGCTCCAACGCATGTGGGATCTTCCCAGACCGGGGCACGAACCCGTGTCCCCTGCATCGGCAGGCGGACTCTCAACCACTGCACCACCAGGGAAGCCCGGAAAGTAACTTCTTGATGGTTGTATTTTTTGTAGATATTTTCTCCCAGTCCATGGGTTGTCTTTTCATTTTGTTTATGATATCCTTTACTGTGCAAAAGCTTTTAAGTTTGATTGTGTCCCCTTTGTTGATTTTTGTTTTTATTTCTTTTGTCTTGGGAGACTTGCTACAATTTATGTCAGAGACTGTTTTGCCTATGTTTTCCTCTAGGAGTTTTATCGTGTCGTGTCTTATTTTTAGGTCTTTAAACCATTTTGAGTTTATTTTTGTATATGGTGTGAGGGAGTATTCCGACTTCATTGATTTACGTGAGGCTGTCCAGCTTTCCCAATACCACTTGCTGAGGAAAGTGTCTTTCCTCTATTGTATATTCTTGCCTCTTTTGTTGAAGATTAATTGACCATAGATGTGTGGGTTCATTTCTGGGCTCTCTAGTCTGTTCCATTGATCTATATGTCAGTTTTATGTCAGTACCATGCTGTTTTGATTACTGTAGTCTTGTAGTACTGTCTGAAGTCTGGGAGGGTTATGCCTCCAGCTTTGTTCTTTTTCCTCAAGGTTGCTTTGGAAATTCTGAGTCTTTTGTGGTTCCATATAAATTTTAGGAATATTTGTTCTAGTTCTGTGAAAAATGTAATGGGTATTTTGATAGCGATTGCATTAAATCTGTAGATTGCTTTCAGTAGTATGGCCATTTAACAAGAATTAATTAATATTCTTTCAATCCAAGAGATATCTTTCCATTTGTTTGAATCATCTTTAATTTCCTTTATTAATGTTTCATAGTCCTCAGCATATAAATCTTTTACCTCCTTGGTCAGGTTTATTCCTAGGTGTTCTTTGATGCAATTTTAAATGGGATTGTTTTTTACTTTCTCTTTCTGAGATCTCATTGTTAGTATCAAGAAATGCAACAGATTTCTGTGTAATAATCTTGTATCCTGCTACCTTGTGAATTCATTTATTGGTTCTAATAGTTTTTGTGTGGAGTCTTCAGGGTTTTCTATATAGAGTATCATGTCATCTTCATAAAATGGCAATTTTACTTCTTCCCTTCAAGCTCGGATACCTTTTATTACTTTTTCTTTTCTGATTGTTGTGGCTAAGACTTCCAATACAATGTTGAATAGAAGTGGTAAGAGAGGATATCCTTGTATTGTTCCAGAATTTAGCGGGAAGGCTTTCAGCTTTTCACTGTTGAGTATTTATTGGCTATGGGTTTGACTTATATTTTCACAAGCTTTGTACATTTGTCAGGCTAAGCCTTTTTCTGCTCTACAAATATTTTTGCCAACATCAATTGCAACACATCTTAGAAGATTTACTGCAGGTAATGAATTCTTTCAGCTTTTTTACATCCATAAATTTTTAAACATTTGTCATCTTTTTTGAAAGGTATTTTCACTGGGTACAGATTTTTGTGTGTGTGCTTTAAAGATGTTGCTCCACTGTCTTCAGCCTTGCATTGTTTATGACAAGAAGTTGGCTGTCACTCCTGTATTTATTACTCTGTGTATCATGTATCTTTTTATTTAGATATTTTTATATTTTCTTTTTGTCACTGATTTAAAGCTGTTTCATTGTTTTCTTCATATTTCTTGTGCTTGGGGTTTGTTGAGCTTCTTGGATCTGTGGATTTAATTTTTATTACATTTCAAAATTTATTTAATTCTTTTCTTTTTCTTTTCATTTTGGATAGTTCCTATGGCAATATCTTCAAGTTCACGAGTCTCTTCTGCATTGTTTAATCTACTGTTAATCCCATCCAGTGTATTTGTTACTAGGGCATGGTTGTTTTCTCCTATACAAGTTTCATTTTTCATCTTTTTTTATATATGCCATGTTCCTCCTAAACATGTCCTATCTTTCCTCTAGCTTCATGAACATATGGAATACAGTTACAATAACTGTTGTAATGTCCTTGTCTACTAAATCTATCATCTGTGTTGTTTCTGGATTGGTTCTGATTGATTTTTCACCTCATTATGGATCATATTTTCCTGCTTCTTTGCATACCAGGTAATTTTTTATTGCAGGTAAGGTGTTACAGAAAGATAGCTTGTCCTTATTCTCCACAGCTAAACTCTCAAGTTTTCTGGTGAATCTACAAACCACTGAAATTGTTTTCTCTGATACCACTCATCAATCCATCTAAAGACAGATTGTTCTGACTTCCTTGCTAATTTACAGCTAATCAGTGTACCTGAAAAACAAAAGTGCAAACAAGAATCACTGTCCCAAGACTGTCTGTAGCATTTATTATTTCCTTTCTCTCTCTATTTTTTTTTTCAGGCCATGCCATCTGGCTTGCAGGATCTTAGTTTCCTGACCAAGGATCAAACCCAGACCCCCAGTGGTGGAAGCTCAGAGTCCTAACCACTGGACCGCTAGGGAATTCCCCTTTCTCTCTCTTTTATTAAAATTTTGGTAGGTTTTTTTAGTTACTTAGAAGCCAGCCCGTGGTTTGGTCTCTGTCGTATACAAGTAAACGGCATGCAGAGAGTTAACTATTTGTCTCTAAGTTTTTCTTTGATGTCAGACACAAAAGAATATGTGCTTTAGAGTTCAAAGACAAGCAAAACTAATATAATGTGTGAAAAAACAGAATACTGTTTTCCTTTAGGGAAGAGGGAGGGCTGTGGTAGAAAGGGGAATGAGGAGGGTTCTTGGAATTCTGGTAATGTTCTATTTTATCACTTTGTAAAAATTCACTCAACTCTACCATTATTTTTTTATTATTTTTTTGCGGTACGCGGGCCTCTCATTGTCGTGGCCTCTCCCGGTGCGGAGCACAGGCTCCGGACGCGCAGGCTCAGCGGCCATGGCTCACGGGCCCAGCCGCCCCGCGGCATGTGGGAACTTCCCGGACCGGGGCACGAACCCATGTCCCCTGCATCGGCAGGCGGACTCTCAGCCACTGCGCCCCCAGGGAAGCCCAGCCCAGCACTTTTGATGCTGAACATGTGATGATGGTGGTGGTGATGGTGATGTGAGGATGAGGGTGTTTACCCCCACCACCAACACCGGTCAGTCCTTCCTGAGATCTTCAGTCTCCTGGCCACCCCTTGGTTCAAACTTTGGGGAAACGTGGAGAGAGCAGGAACTTTCCTCTCTTCTCTCCAGGGAGCTGTCTCCCAACCTGCTTTGTGCTGTTCATCCCCCCAGGTTGAAGTTTACCCCCAGCTCTTGCTGCAGACTGTCTCCTTATCACTTGAGAGCAGTGGCTTCCTATCCCCGTTGCCCAGAAGTTTCAGAATCTCCCAGGATATCCCAGTTCAGGGTCCCAAGTTCCCCTCCAGCCCCCAGCCTTCTGAAACCATCAAGTTCCTTAGGTACCACAGTGGGGGGAGAAGATTACTAATGAGGCCGTGGGGCCTTGGATCCCGCCTGACCGTTAAGTGGGCCCTGGGAAACCTATTAAGTGACCCTTTTCTTACTGAGAGTCCCTGGGAACAGAAGCTGGAAGGTGATGGGAGAAGAGGGGGAATGAGGTGGTGGAGTCCGTGGGCTTCCACAGACTACGCTTCTACGGTCTACACTGCTACTTTATTATTTTTATTCACAGAGAAGCTGGTGTTTGATCTCTGCCTTGAAGAATGAGTAGACTTCCAGGTGGGGAAAGGACATTCTGACATGGAGAAGGATGCGTGAGGTCAGTGAGAAAGGAGTGACCGGGGCACATGCAGGTTGCTCTGCGGCTTGCCAGTAAGGTGAGGGTGAGGCCAGAAGGGTAAGCTGGGTCCATGTTGTGATGGTTGGAACTTGCACTTCTTCCAACCAGAATTCAAGGCACCTTCTCCTCCACCCAGACTGGATCTCTCCCTTCTCAGGAGTCATTGCTAAGACTCTGTTCCCTCCAGGATCAGAGGGTGGGTAAATGCACCCAGCCAACCAAGGAGCTAAGGATTGAATTCAGCTGGAATTGGGGGTCTGGATGTCTCCTCTAAATGAATCTCCACATTCTGGTCTCCTTTCTCCTGGGACGCCATAGAAGATGGCGCCTTGTGGGTGTGGGTAGCGGGGGCTGAGTGCAGAGCTCGTGCTAGAATTCACCAACTCAAATCCACGTTTGCAGTAGAGAGGAAACCTGGGAGGAGGGAGTCTGAGGTCCAGAAGGTTCGGGGGACGTAGGAGATTCTCTGTCTCTCTTTGTCTCTGTCTCTCTCCATCCCTCCCTCTGTTTCTCTCTGTTTCTCTCTGTGTGTGTGTCTGTGTCTATCTCTGACTCTCTCCATCTTTCCCTCTCTTTCTTTCTGCCTCTCTGTCAGCCCAGAGCCTGGTGAACCACCTGGGCTGGGGACGCTGCCGAGCAACAGGTGTCTTCACCGCCAACCCATCTGCCGCCTCAGCAGGTGCGGCCCTTCCCGTTTCTGGTCGTGCGTCTCATTCTGTTCCTGTCTCTTTGCCTCTGAGTCTGCTGCTTCCTCTCTCTTCAGTCCCTTTCTGTTTCCCCTCATTTGGGGGTGGGGGGGGGGACCGACAGGTGAGAGAGACCCAGAGAAGAGCAGGCTCCCTCACTTAAGAGCACAGACTTTGGAACCAGCCAGATCTGGGGACAAACCCTGATTCAGGGGGATGCTGGGTGACGCCTTCCGCGGGTCAGTCTCTCCAAGTCTTGGCTTCCTCACCTGTAAATGAACCGTGATGATGACGCATACAACTCCATAGTGGGATCACAAAGATTAAATAATACTGTGCAGGCAGAGCACTGGGGACACGCCTGCCACTCGTGAGGACTTGACAGATAGCAGTGATAGCGGCCCCGCAGTGGTGTTGGTTTCGATGCGGTTCCTTGGCTCCCATCGGTGTGTAGAGGTAATGGTGTGGAGGCCTGTGGGGCAGTGCCGGTGAAGAGCGAGAGGCAGAGGCAGCGTCTCTGGACCACTTTCCAGGAGCCGGTGGTGGGAGAGCCGGGGCGAGGGGCTGGGGAAGAGAGGCACAGGCGCCAGCTTGCCGGCGTTCTGGGTCTTGGAATCAGAGCCGACGGGAGAGGTGCTGCTGACCTGTGGCAAGTGCCGCTGCGCTGGTCCACACATGGCCTCTCCTCGCTCCACTGCTTACTCGATCTCTCCAGGTGACTCTCCATCCAGGGCAGAAGGTACCAAATACACAGGCAGCAGGAAACAAGCGAAAGGACTAAGCATGTCTTGATATTTTGGTATTTTTTCATTCAGTAACACCTCCTATAGCAGGGGGTGCTGGGCCAGACACCTGCCCCACATTATTTCTCTCCATCATTAAAACCATCCTCTGGGGTCGGGGAGGCTGCCGATGCTCTCAAAGGTTAAAAACTCTCTCCGAGCTCTCTCCGCTGGCCAGTGAAAGAGCTGAGACGAGAAGCCAGGTGTGTGCCCCTGAGCCATCCTGGCTGCAAGAGGACGGAGGAACTAGACCGTTGTATCTTGGGGTGCTCTTGGGAGCCACAGAGAAAAGAGGTGACTCGGGCAGGATCGCAGACAGGACCAGAAACCAAACCTCCTTACCCAGCCCCCCAACATCCCTATTATCTGAGCAGTGCCCCCCAAAATTGAATGATGAGGCAGCACACATCCAAAAATGCACTGTGCACGCGTGTGAAAATAGACGCACAAACCCATGGGTGTAGCTAGAAAGGGCTGTGCTGATGTGCACTGGCCTGAGGCCCTTCTAGGATCCGTAAATCGCCATCTGTTTCCTTTACTGATTGTAAATTAAACTGACCTCTTGCAGCTTCCTTATGGACTCCTAAAACATCAAAATATCCTTTGAAATGGCTTAGCTTGGGAGTAAAAGCATAAACACAAACACAACTTTTGATAGAATCACAAAATATCAGAACTGGAAGAAACTTTCAAGGTCACCTGGCCCAACTCTCTTACGTTACAGCTAAGGAAACAGGCAGTGGTGCCTCGTGACCGGCTAGTGGACGGTCAAGGGTTTCGTGGTTCACGGCGCAACGGCTGTTGGTGCATATTCTATAAGATGACCTCAGCGCAGGAGGAGAGGAACCATCGGTTAACTATGAAGGGACAGCTCGAGGAATGCTGGAATGTCCGCGTCAGCATCGGCCTGATCCGGCAGTTTGACGTGTGTCGATGGATGTCCCCTCTGTTGTTACGCGTGTAAGTGCCTTGAAACGGTGATTGGCCCCAGCCGGATAGGGCTCCTTAGGAAAGGTCAGCTTGCATTAGCTTTCGAAGGAGTGACATTTTAAGGATCAGAGTGTACGGAGAGAGAGAAGAATGTGTCTCTTGTTGAGTGAATTAAGGGGATGGCAGGACAATTGACCTTTGATGGCTGGATGGGGAGATGAACATGATTCCAGTAGGGTGTTTTTTGGGGGGACATTGACCCTGAAGATGGTTGACTGCGTGTACCCCATCTGAGACTGACGGCAATGTGGAGTTTAAATGGCCAGGAGCATTTTAGGAAAGGAGCCCACAGAAGTTGGGGCAGTTGGCTGTTGTGAAGGGGCCGGGCCTCTGAGGTTCCAGGGCCAGAAACCCAGGTTAGGGACACAATAGGGACACTGAGAGGAGGCATATATGTGGGAGAAATGAGGATTGAGTAACTCCTTCACTTACAGTCGTTCTACGAACGACAAGCGCGACTCAAATCTTTGGTTCCAGGAGGCTGAATTTAGTGGCGTTGCCATAATAACCATGGAATGAGAGGATGACACGAAGCCTGCCTGGGGGACAGGAGTCTTTCCCCGGGATGTGGGTGGCTTGTAAGTTCCGCCTTGGAGGAGGAACAGAATTTCCCATTTTTTTAGGTAGATAACGCCTGGGACTCCTGGGGATCGGACCAGCAGGATGTGAAGCTGGGCATCGTGCTGTGCTGAGGACTTTGGACTTAAGCCTGAAGGTAAGGAAGGGAGAGTTAAGCAAAGAATGGGTATCCATCCTTTGGAAGGGCTGTTCCCGTTGGTGGTATGAAAAAGTGTTTGGACGGAAGCAGCTGGGAGCAGGAGGCCGGGTAGGATCCGCTGTGCTCATTCAGGAAAGAGAAAGCAGGAGTCGTGGGAGAAACGAGCCTCTGGAGGCTGTAGGTGTGCCCAGCAGGACGTGGTGCCCTGTTGTACTTGAAGGAGGAGGAGAGGGAACTCACCTGCCATGCCTTCCTGGTTTCCAATTTTGGCACTAGGCAAGCTCCTCCCTCAGAAGGAGGGGAAGTTTGGGGTGGAAAGAACGGATTTAGTTCAAGACTGGTTGGATTGGAAGTGTTGGCGGAAATGCAGCTAAGAGAAGGGAGTGGGTCGTGAGAGAGATGTAGGGCATAAGTCACGGAAGAGGGTGCTATCATTCAGGAAGGTGGCTGCTCGTCATAACGTGGAGGGGGTGGACCATCTTCCCTGGTCATTTTTTTCCCTGTAACTGAGCCCAAGAGGCACAGGCCCCGGAGTGCCGTGGGTTTGTCCTGAATCCAGCCAAGAGGAAGAAATGGCAAATAAATACGACAGGAAGCAAAGGCCAGGGTAGGTAAGAGAGGAGCACACGAGTCTATCTGCCAAGAGCTGGGAGCTGTGATCTCCCCGAGGGGTGCCAAGTGCAGGGGAAGAAGGCGGGGCCTCTGTGAGCCAGAGATGCTAATGCTATTCTGGGTTGGCCGGCAGAAATGGGGGCCCCTTCAGCCCTCTTCCGGGGTTCAGCCCCGCCCCACCGTTGTCATCACTATAGGCTGGGACCCGGGAGGCCGGGCTCCTTGGTGCGGCCGCTGTGAAGGCTGGCCAGAACTTCAGGGCAGCGGACAGGCGTGACGGAGACACCTGGGTCCCTGGGATGCACGGGGCACAGGAGGCTGGAAGGGAGAGTGGACAGTGGCTCCGAACATCTCAGTTCCCTGAAAGATGTTGGGCTGCAGGAGATGAGGAGTAGAAAATACTGGACTGGGGAGAAAGCGCTGAAGCCCTGGGAAGGGTGGCGGGAGGGGAAGCTACGGGTGGGCCAGGGAAGGCTGGGCGCAGGGCTCCGGGCCAAGGAGAGGCAGAGGCCCTGACGCTCCTCTCCAGGCTGTGCGTCCATCCTCCCCCAGGCCCCGACACGAGCCACTGGCCCACGTCAAACTGGACCGCCCCACAGGAGTTTGTAATCCTGGGTTTCTCCGGGCAGCCCCTGGGGCCCCGGGTGCTGCCCTTTGCCCTCCACCTGCCCCTCTGTTTGCCACGCTGGCAGGAAGCCTGCTGATCCAGGGGCTGGCCGTGGTGAACGCCGCCCTGCACCCACCACGTACTTCTTCCTGGGGGACCTGTCTGCCGAGGAGGCGGCCTACGCGCCAGTGCTGACTCCGCGCGTGCTGGCCGGCCTCCTCCTGCCGCCTGGGGGCCGCCCAGATGGGCCTCTTTGTGGCTCCGGCTGCCTGCTGCTGGGCCACTACCCGGCTGTCTGCCGCCCTCAGCTCACGACTGCGGGGCTCTGCTGGTGCCTTCTCGCCGCCTGCTGCGTTGGGGGCTCTCTCCTGGCCTTGGGCCTCACCACGGCCATCTTCCAGCTGCCCTTCCGCCGTGGGGGCTTAGTCAACCACGTCTTCCGCGACCTCCCGGCCGTGTTGGTGTTGGCCTGCGGGAACCGGGACCTGCAGGAGCACGTCCTGCTGGCGGCCTGCGTGCTGCTGGCGGTGCTGCCTCTGGCCCTGATCCTTCTCCTACGCCAGGGCGGTGCTGGTCATCCTGGGGCATTGCTGGGGCTGCGGGCCACCGCAAGGCCTTCAACACGGTGGCGTCCCATCTCACGGTGGCCTGGCCATGCTCCACGACGGCTGCGCCACGGCCGTGTACGCCAGGCCACCGAGCAGCCACTCCCTGGAGGAGGACAGGCTGGTCTCATTCATCTACATCAACCTCACTTCCCCGCTCTACCCGGCCATCTACACGCTGCGGAACCGGGACATGCAGGGGGCACTGCAGCGGGTGGTCGGCCCCAGGACACCAGGCGCCGTCCACCAGGCTGATGTCACCGAATGCTGGATGCCAGGTGGAGTCTGTTCTGAAATCTCTCCACCACCCCCGGATGGAAACCTCACATTCCAGAACCATCTGTGACTCCCCGAAGCCTACTGGACACAACCTGGGTGCAGCAGACAAGGACTCCAAAATCAGACTCCAGCCTGCTGCTTCCGCATCTAGTGACTTTTTTTTTTTTTTTATGTGGACCGTTTTTAAAGTCTGTATTGAGTTTGTTACAGCATTGCTTCTGTTTTATGTTTTTGGTTTTTTGGCCGTGAGCTATGTGGGATCTTAGCTCCCCGACCAGGGATCGAACCCACACCCCCTGCACTGGAAGGTGAAGTCTTAACCAGTGGACCACAAGGAAGTTCCTCTATTGACATTTTGAGCTGGAGAGTTCTCTCTGGTGGCGGGGGGATTGTCCCTGTGCATTGTAGGGCGCTTAGCTGCACCCCTTGTCTCCACCCAGGAGATGCCAGTAGCACACTCCACTCCCCCATCCAAGTTGTGATGATCAAAAATGTCACCAGACATTGCCAAACATCCCCTGGGGACAGAATCACCCCTGGTTGAGAACCACTGCTCTGAATCGTAGCCGCACAGAATCTTTTGAAGAGGAGTGAGTAAGGAGTCTATGGCAGCACTGTTTATAATAGACAAAAACTGGAAATTATCCAAACATTCATGAACATAGAACAGATACAAACAGCTTGTGGCATATGCATGCAATGGAATACTACACAGCAATGAAAAAGAATGAACTACTGCTACTGGCAAAAAAATAAGGACCACCCGGATGTAATACTGAGTGTAAGAAGCAAGACACAACACTTCTGGATGCTTCCATTGAAATAAAGGCCAATGACAAACTCATCTGTGGCGGTTGATGTCATCATAGTAGTTAACTGGGGGAAGGGTTTGAATTGGCAGAGGGCACAGGGAGGTTGCCTGGGTACTGGAAACGTTCTATGTCTTGACTTGGGTGGTGGTTACGTGGGTGTTTGTGCAGAACTTCACAGAGATGCATCCTTAAGATCCATGTAGTTTGTTGTACATGAAATGAACTGTGGCTGGTTCAAGCTATTCACAAAGACAAGCCTTCAAATCATCATGCCTTCACTCATGCTGCTTTTTGCCCCTGGTACACTCTGTTTCCACTTATGAAAATCCCTTGTATTATTCAGTGATCAGTCCAGATACTGTACCTGTTGTAGACTGAAGGTGTCCCCACCCAAATTCACATGTTGAAATCTAATCACCATTATTAGTTTGTTATTAGGGGGTGGGGTCTCTAGAAGTGATTAGGTCATGAAGGTGGAGCCCTCCTGAATGGAATTAGTGCCCTTATGAAAGAGGCCTGGAAGAGCTCCCTCACCCCTTCTGCCCTGTGAGGACCCAACAAGAAAGCAGCTGTCTACGAGCCCGGAAGAAAGTTGTCACCACACTGAAGCTGCCGGCACCTTGATCTTGGACTTCCAGCCTCCAGAACTGTGAGAGATACATTTCTGTTGTTTATAAGCCTCCAGCTCTATGGTATTCTGTTGTAGTCGCCCGAATGGACTAAAACGGCACCCTTTCCTTCCTCCTCTCAGTTACAACAGTTGTCACTCTAAAATGTAATTTCAGCGTCTGCTTCACCTCCCAATCACCTGCCCACTCCCCCACTTCCCCACTCACAATTAGGCTGTGAGCTCCATAAAGCCAGATTGCAGATCCTGTTCTTAACATTTTAAGATCCATGACCCTGGCAGTTCTTAATAAATGTTTGTTGGAGGAATAAGCCATAGACAAGCTCTGAGTTCTTTTGGGGTCTCACACACTGGCTGTAGGGAGGGGACACGGCTCTCGAGTCCTGCCAAGGACAAGAATCTCTAAGACTGACTCCTCTTTGGGGTCTTAGAGCATCAGAGCTGGCTGTGAAAACCCCAGCTGGACAGCTTGGACCCAACTTTCCAAGGCAGGGAGGCTTAGAAGCAACGCGTTTGTGTCTTGACATAATAAACTGCATTCGGAAAACTTGATAGCTCTGCTTGTACCCCCAAGGCCAGGGTCCCAGATTCCGTGAGGGGGAACTTTTCCTAAAAATGCCTCCTGAAGGGTCGGTCAGGAAAGTCTTAGAGCCAGGATCAGTGCCGGTAAATACCGCCTACCTAACCTCCTGGCTGGAGAAACCGCACGTCTATGAAAACTGATTCGAAGGCTGGGGAGAACTGATCTGTGCAGGCAACGTGGGACACCAGAATGCCTGTCAGCTGCCTCAGAAATCTCGTGAGTCTGTTTCTGTTTTGCAGATAAGTTCATTTGCGTTATTTTTTTTAGATTCCACATATAAGCGATATCACATTGTATTTGTCTTTCTCTGTCTGGCTTACTTCACTTAGTATGATAATCTCTAGATTATAGAAAACAAATTTAGGGTTACCAATGGGGAAAGTGAGGGAGGGATAAATTAGGAGTTTGGGATTAACAGATACACACTACTATATATAAAATAGGCAACGAACAAGGACCTACCATATAGCACAAGGAACTATTCTCAATTTTTTAAAAATTTATTTTTGGCTGCGTTGGGTCTTCGTTGCTGCGCACGGGCTTTCTCTAGGTATGCGGGCTTAGTTGCTCCGCGGCACGTGGGATCTTCCCTGTCCAGGGCTTGAACCCGTGTCCCCTGCATTGACAGGCGGACTGTTAACCACTGCACCACCAGGGAAGTCCCTATACTCAATATTTTATAATAACCTATAAGGGAAAAGAATCTGAAAAAGGATAGATTCATAAGTATAACTGAATCACTTTGCTGTACACCTGAAACTAACAACATTGTAAACCAACTATACTTCAATTTAAAAAAGAAAGACAGGAGGAAGAGACAAAAAGAAAGAAATCTCATGAAAGGGGGTCTCTGTCCATTTGTCTGTGCCGTCTTAGTTCTTACCTTCTGCTTCTCCCTGAGGCCAGTGCTCGGGACCCTGAGGCACACAGGAAGCCCCCCGTCAATTCCTTCCCAAATCCTACGGCTATGAGGAAGTCCTCACTCAAGAGACACTTAGGGCTGGCAGTCTAACAGGCCTGGTAGCTGTGGTTGATTTGTTTCAGCGCATCTCCCAAGACCGGGTGAGGCCTGAGGGCCACCAGCAGTCCCGTTATCCGCACTGTACATGATTGAGAGTGATGACCACAACCAAAGAAACCTTTGCATTTGACCGCCTGGTGGGGAGCCTTGGTGGGAGCTGTCAGGTTGCTGAGCACAGGTGGCTGCACCTGCTTTGGCGTTGAGGTAAGTCAGGGTGGAGGCCCAGCCTGCGTCTGCTGATGGTGGCCCTCCATCCCCAGGTTCCTTTAAAAGGTTATGCAGGGAATTCCCTGGCAGTGGTTAGGACTCCACGCTTCCACTGCAGGGGGCACGGGTTTGATCCCTGGTCGGGGAACTAGGATCCTGCACGGCGTGGCATTTTGGGTCTTCGGCCGAATTCTGTGGTGGGAAGTAGCAGCTCCGGGCCAGATTTAGATACTTTCAAAGGCTAACTGGACCCTTTTCTCTCCCTCCTGCTGTACAAAGTCTTTCAAAATATTTTGAGTCTTGAGACACATCAAGTTTTAAGTTTCAGTTTATTTATGTATTGAGAGATAATTGACACATAACATCCTATTGGTTTCAGGTAGTACAACACAATGATTCGCGACTTGTGTACATTGCGAAATGATCACCGTGATGACTGTAGTGAACATCACTTCATGTAATTGCCAAATTTTATTTTCTTGTGATAAGAACTTTCAAGATTCACTCACTCAGCAACTTTCGAAGATGCAATACAGTTTCAAGTTTCAGCTTCTAATTCTCTATTACCCGCCACGCTGACAACTGACTTGGCCTTGGGGATGTTACCATAAAGGTCTGCAGTGGAATCCCGGGCAGCCGGACTCAAGGCAGCTGCTTCCCCTCAGGGTGTCCCAATCAGCCTCACTAGGATCGGGCTCACCCCCACCAGCCCAGAGGCAGCAGGATCACCGGAGCTGGGACCTCGGAGCCTAGAACCAGTGCTTTGGTGAGTCGGTGGTGGCTGAGTGCTCATGGCAGGGTGCATCTCAGCCCTCACCTGCCCCGACAGGACCTTTTGGAAACCGGGGCCAAGTCTCCTAACAGTCAGCAGCTGGGTCTGTGCCTGGAGTGGGGAAGTACACCCAAAGTCTAACACCCACTGGGGGAGTTCACCCTCTGCGGGGCAGCAACCTGTGGGAGACACAGCCACAGCCCGTTTGCCAGCCAAAGGCATTTCTCCACCAGCCAATTGCAAGACTCTACCATCCTGTTCCCAACTGTGAAGACTTCGTGAAATTAACACTTAAGTGGAGCACAGGGTGTAAGGACGATGAGTGGGTTCAGCAACAGACCACGGAGAAATCGAAATCGGCAAGTTTATTACTCACAGGGCCTGGACCAAGCACACAGCACACCGGGAGGGGCCCCAGGGCGGGTCAAGGCGGAGTGCAGACAGGGACTGGACTTGGCACACATCCCTTTATTAGGGTCCACGGGGGAGTGCTCTGGGGTTTCTAGGTTGGGACCAGATTGGGCAATCCAAACCCAAAGAGCAGGGTTTTGGTAAGCTCACGGGGGTCCTGGCTAAGGGGTGCGTAAAGCTTACAGGCACTGGGAGGCAGGTGAGCTACTGATCACAAGGGCTGCGGGGCAGTCACTCCAGGGACTTACATCTGCTTGTGGCCGAGCGGCTGCTATAGGGCATGTCCTTGCACAAGGGGCTTGTGTCAGCTTAAGGTCCCTGCAGCCATCTGACCAAACACGATGGGTGATGAGGCAGCAATACTAGAGAGCAGCTTAGCTAAACTCTGGACGGATATACATCGAGTACATCTAGATGTGAACTTATTTTCAGTTATTCAGCTAGGCATATATTGCATGTCTATATATGCATATATATATACATATATATTTCACACACATATGCATGTTAATGCACATCTTTTGTTAAATCTGAGTCAATACATCTTTGAATATTTACTTTTCTTCCGTTTTTTTCATTTTGTCTTTAAGGAGCTCCTGTTTGCTCTTCTCTCTCTTTTTGTTTTTTTTTTAGTATTTTTGGCCGTGCTTTGCAGCGTGCAGGACCTTAGTTCCCTGACCAGGGATCGAACCCATGCCCCCTGCAGTGGAAGCTTGGAGTCTTAACCACTGGACGCCAGGGAAGTGCCTGCTCTTCTCATTTGTATGTCTCTTCCCCCATTCTTTCACATTTTCCACCTCTCTATATACTGAATTCTGTGAATTGGCTTATGGCTCTGCCTTCCTGTTCCCATTTTCTTCAGCTGAGTATAATCTGTTTGACATGTAGAATATTTTAACATTGAGTTTTAAATCTCAGTGACTATATTTTTCATTTCTAGACACCCTATGTGGTTCTTTTTCCAAATAAGCCAGTTATCTTTCTTTGTGTCTTTGCTTTCATGCAGTTTTGATTTTTTGTTTTTTATCATTTTTCAAGACAGTCATTTTTATAGAATTTCAGATTTTTCTATCACCTTAAAAGACTTGAGGTTTTAATTTTGTTAAAATGTCTGTTGACTTTCTTCACATTTTATTATTCTGGATTATGACCTCATCTTGGGTTTGTATGTCAGAACCCTGGGAAACACAGGTTGAGGGTGTCTTTCTCCAAGAATAGTTTGTGTTTGCTTCTGTAAAGTTGCTTCAAAGACCAGGACAAATTTCTATGTTAATTGTTCAGTTTTTCAACTGGGGCATGAGTAGGGCAAATTCACAATTCTAACTCGTAAGAGGTGCAGGTCACAGCTTGTGAATCATCAGGGTAAATTCTTTCCCTACCAGAGTCCAGGGAAGGACAGGCAAGCTTCCTGAGCAGATGAGCAGGTTTTTCTCTGGTCCATCCTTTCCCTATATGTACAGGCGTTTGAAATTTCTCAATTTATGAGGTATTTCAGTGCCAAGCCTTCTGCCTATAGCTTTTAACACCCAAGCTTCTGGGTAAACAAACCTACAGGGCAGCTTACAGCATCAACTCACACACTTTTCAGTTCTCTCTGGAACTAGCACCTGGAAACCTCACTGATTTTCTTGCAAGCTGAATTATGCATTTAAAAGAATGTTACCTGTTATTGTCCATAATTTCAAGTGGTTTACAGTGGAACATTTTTCACTTTAGGTGGTCCACTATACTGCCAGAAAAGGGAGTCCCAACCTTACTCATTTAACATGACTTATAAACTAGTTGATGGAGAGAGATCAGGGGATGTCATGAAATTGCTGGTTTCCAGATCCAGGGGGGCTCTGTAATACTTGCCAGCAAACAAAAAACCAAATGGTATGTGGTACGGTGTATGGACTTCCGGTTGAGTAGTAAATCCCAGTTATAACGTATATTAAAGACAAAAGGGTGTAATTTGGTGTGGAAACTCTTGATAGATGTCATCCTACATATTATGGTATCTGTGTCTACAAGTTCACAATTATGCTCAACTACAAATGCAGTTCAAAAATAAGTAAAATAAAATTCTGTTTATGTAGCATTTCCAGGAACATAGTCCCCACACACCCCTGGGATTGTTCTGTGGCTTATTCAATCTGTTATATTAATGGTTTAAATTATTCACTTAGAGCTCAATAGCCACAGTTAATTAGACACAGATACACTTCATAGTTAAGTTTAAGTTTATCCTATAAAAATAGATCCCTCTAGAGCATCATTACCCTTCTACCCCTATCCTTAGTTTTAAGAGAATAAGCATTTCCTAGTTCTCCAAGTTGGTAGGAAGGTCTGCCCACAGTGGCATTGGACTTCTTGCCGAAGGATTTTCCATGTTCACAAAATCCACAGGGTTTTCATTCCTAGATGTGTTGGGAATTCCTGATGAAAACTTCTCTCTCACTTTATCCGTACAGTTTCTCCCTGGTGTGAATTCTGTGGTGTCTGATGAGGTTCGCCTTCTGGGAGAACGTTTTCCCACAGTCAGAGCATTCATAGGGCTTCTTGCCCATATGGGTTCTCTTGTGTATGATGAGGCAGGAGTTTTGGGAGAAAGCCTTCCCGCATTCGCTGCACTCGTAGGGTTTCTCTCCGGTGTGAGTCCTCTGGTGAAGGATGAGGTGTGACTTCTGGAAGAAGGCTTTCCCACACTGGCTGCAGCCATAGGGCTTCTCTCCTGTGTGGACTCGGTAGTGGATAATGAGGCATGACTTCCGGGAGAAAGATTTCCCACATTCTTCGCAGCCATAGGGTTTCTCTCCCGTGTGGGATCTGTGGTGTTCGATGAGACGTGACTTGTGGGAGAAGATTTTCTCACAGTCTGAACACTTGTAAGGCTTCTCTCCAGCCAGAACGGCCTCGGGTATGGAGAGGCTTGTTTCTGGGGAGAGCTTTTTACCGCATTTGCCGTTTCTGCCGGGTTTCTCGTCTGTGTGGTTTCCCGGACGTTTTTTGCTGAGGCAAACCTTCTCCTCTCTCAGGCCATCCCCCTGGTCATTGCATCCAGAGGACTTCTCATCCCTGTGGACTCTCTGATGGGTGATGATTTCTGATTTATGGGAGAAGCCTTTCCCACATTTGGTACATTTGTGGGGTTTCTCGTTACTGTCGGTTCTCTGATCAGCATTAAGGGCTTGGTCATGGCTTAAAGCATTTCTACATTGGTTACATTCACGTGGGTGTGCCCCAGAATGTGGAGTTTCCAGCTTAGAATAGAGAAATAAGTTCCCCTGTGCATCATATTCAAATCTCCTTCTTGCAAGGTACGCGTTAGGGGTAACGCCTGCATTACCCGGCAAGGCTGCTCCACACGACTCGCACTTAGGGACCTGTTGTCCTGAAGAAACGACGTTTGTGTTCTGACAGGTGTGTTTTTCGACTGTGTTACATGCGTTGTGCCCTTCTGTGGTCAATTTTTTCTTGTCTAGGAGTGCAACTTGCTTCAAAAGTTTGTTTTGGTGTTCCCGTTGTCTCTCTACTTGGGTATCAACTTGCAAAACTTCTAGGGAAGAAAATAAATAAGGACACAAACGTGTTATCTTTCCAGGAGCACATCACAGAACTAAACTATTTCAGAAATGTTTGGAAGGAGGATTAACTTCGTGGTTTCAAACCTGATTGCCCAGATTAAATAATCATAATAATCCTGCTACAAACACTTCCTACTCCCTTGGCTTCTGAAAAGAAAAAAAAAAATGAGAACTGATAACAGATAAAACCCTGACGGTGAATATATGTAAGCTCTGCTGTTATCAAGTCCGCACATTAAATTGGGAAGAAGGTGAAAACACACACAAGAGAAAAACTAGAGGATAGTGGACTCAAGGCATTGATGTGCTGATGAACCAGGTCACCAAGAGAAAAAGAAAACCCGATCTGTGTCAATTACCAATCTCCATGGTGAAAGCATTCCCCAATGTGACCAATTTGAGGATGACATCACAGAATTCAGAGCCAGAGGATTCTGCCACCATTGGCCATCACAGGCCGGTACTAGCTCTAGCATCCCTAGGTAAGGGGAAGACCTAGTAAGGAGGCCCCATCAGGAGATAAGGGTATTTAGGAATTATGAACGAAGACTAAAGACAGACCAGAGTTTTCAGGGGACTCTAGGGAGAAGGGTGTTTAGGAAATAGGAGCAAAGGACTTGGGCTGAATGAAGTGTGAGTTCCCCTCACTTTATTCCTAGGTTGCAAATAGGCTTTTCTCTGACCTGCACTTCCTGTGCCCTTCCCACCTTAACTTCCCCTCCATTCTGTATATCAAATTAATTTTCTCAAAGCATCAAGTTCTTTAACTGTTAGTTACAGGAATTCTCCTAGAGTCAGAGAGGTCCATTCTGCAGCGATTTATTCTCACATGGATCCACGTGGTCTTTACGATGTCCAGTACATCGACACAAGAACCGTAGAACCGAATGCAAGCCATCCTTGCCCTGGGAAGATTCCCTGTTGTGTTCTGATTGCTCAGATGACCGTTTTCTTCATTTGGTTCCCTTAAAACCAAATCTGGCCGACAACCCAACCCTACGTGTCCCCTTCCCATATGCCTGCAGATCAGCCCCTCCACTAAACCCATACTGACATTCCTTGGGCAAGTTGGTTTCCACAGCACTGTGGAATCTACTTGGAGAATCTTAACTGTCGAATTCTTCATCCTATGCTTAGATATTTATCTGCTTTTCCTTTACTTACATTTTAAACCACAAATACCCCGCTATTTCACCTTGGGCACTAATACCCAGTGGAACCATGAAAATTCCTGTGTTTAGAAATATTTATGTTCCCTGAGCTCCACTGCTGAATTCCTAAGAGACAAAATCAATGCCTAGTGATCTTCCCCAGCAGGATTTTCTGGGTTGGGACCCAGCCAGGGGGCATTTTTAAAGCTCCCCCAGTGAGTCTGGGGTACCCCCCTGATTAATAACAACTGCCCTGAACAAATGCTTGATAAAGGATCCTTGTCCTAGACAGTAGAGGGGGTTAGTCAATATATACTATGTGTGTCGTGCAGAAATAAAGATGAATAAAACAAAGGCTCAGCTCCCTGTGGGATCACACTGAGATGGGGGAAAAGCTTCAGTTATAACGTATCAGACAAAATGGGGACATGTTACATGGTCTTGTTACATGGTCATGTTACATGGCATTGAAAGAAAAGACAACTAAAATAAAAATGAGTGACACAAAATAACACAGTTATTTTAAAATAGGACAAATCTATGAACCCCTGAAAGCATGAGAAAGCCTGTTTTATAACCATGGGGACAAGCGTAAGCCTGAAGATTCTAGAGAAAGACTGAGAAAGCAAGGTCTTAGAAGGGGGCAGTGGAATAGAATGAATGGATAAACTTTAAAAGAATATGTCTTTCTCTAAAATCCAGGGAAAGGAGAGTAATCATGCAGTGATGTGTGATGTATGCAGGTAGCAGGAATCATTTGGGCATTTCAAGGTCTTGAGTCAGATGTCTATAGCTGCTTGCAAAGATCCAAGGCTTTTAACACAGATGTGTGAAACAAAAATAATCTGAGGTTCTGCTTTGTGACCTCCTGGAATCTCATGTCCATTGTCCCCCTCCAGGCTGGTTCTCTCTCACCTGGAAAGCTCCATCTGAGGATCTCTTCCTCCTTCATCCACGGTTCTTGCCCCTGCTCCAACCTGGAGATCACAGCTGGTTTGGTGACTTGACACCCTATTCATAAGAAATAGTTACAAGATTTATGCTGAGCCACCTGGGCCATCCAAGGAAGCAGAAAGCTCAGACTGCCTAATGAACATTTACATCTCAGCCAAAGAATAGCTATTTCACTTGGGAGGAAAATTCACAAATAATCCAGGTGAGATGAGAAAAAGACTTACTGATGGTTGAAACCCAAGGCCAAACATTTTTAGTACTTAACAGGGTCTTACGTAACAGAGAAAAGAAAGGAGCTCAGACATAAGCAGCGGGCAGGGGGGACACAGGAAGCCTTCCTCACCCACGGAGACCAGGTGGCTGTAGTTCTCCAGCATCACATCCCGGTACAGGGTCCTCTGCGTAGGATCCAGCTGCTGCCACTCCTTACGGGTGAAGCCCACAGCCACGTCTCTGAATGATAACGACCCCTGGAACAGCACACTCCTGATTAAACTGGAGTGCTCAGCACAGAGTATTATGGCAAAGGTGTAGAGGAGATGGATCTTACCACCTTCAGAGGTCAGGTTTCCCCATGTTAAGTTATATAGGAAGCTTAGCATGCCCCTAACTTTGTACGACATTTCGTGGGAGAGAAAAAAAAAGATCATTAGAAAATATCTCACTTCTGGATCTCTATTCATCCATTCATCCATCCATCCATTTAGTGAGCAAGCATCTACGGAAGACCAGGTACATCACTGGTGTTCTGCATGGTGCTTGAGGTTGAAAGCTCAATGCCACATTGCTTCTGTTCTAGGGCATTTGTAGTCTGGTGGAGTGAGATGAATGTAAGAGACTGCTGTATGGTAACAATACACTGAAGGCTATGACGGAAGTACATTTAAGTACGGAACAGACACAAAGAAGACAGCAGTCAAATTCAACATCCTGATGTCAAGTTAAGCCTCATTGGAGGTTACATGTCAGCAGAATCATGAAAAATAAATTGTTCTGATGTTTGAAGGATATTCCTATCAAGAGGCATGGCCTGAGCAAAGGCAAGGAAAATCTGGTAGGAACTGCAAATATATGACAGTAGGGAATGATAGTATAGAGTATAAGGGGAATGTGTGTGTGTGTGTGAGAGAGAGAGAGAGAGAGAGAGAGGTCAGATCATAGGACAAACAAAGGGTTTTTCATACATGCAATGGGGACTCCATCACAATATTTAAGAAGGGGAGTTACCAAAGACAAACTGATGTGGAAGATCACTGCATCACTGAGGTGGGAATCACTGGGAGGGAGAGAATGAATAAAATTCGGGTATAATTATAGGGAATTCTCTGGCAGCCCAGTGGTTAGGACTCCGTGTTTCCACTGCAGGGGGCACGGGTTGGGGAACTAAGATCCTGCAAGTCACATGGTGCAGCCAAAAAAATAATAATAAAAATAAAGTTCGGGTACAATTATAATCATCAACATGTGATATGGTCAAAATTAAGGTGGCAACAAGAGGAAAGCAGAGAAAGGATTCCATGTACACAGAACAGGGCTTGGCTCCCCTTCCCTTTCACCCTCCTTTTCTCTCTCTCTCAATGAATTAAGGACCAAAGTTACAATTTTAATTTATACTGAGTATTATATATATATATATATATATATATAATGTGTGTAAATCATTTTAAATATTGGTTTAGAAGTTAAAAGGCTAAAGTGTAAGAATAATTATCTCAGATTTGTTAATGGAAACAATGTAAAAGGAAGTAAAATCTGTCATAACAAAGTGGAGGGGGGAGTAAAGTGCAGAGTTTCTGTATGCGATTGAAGTTAAGTTGTTATCAGGTTAAAACAGACTGTTAACACTATTAAATATTCAATGCAAGCCTCATGGTAACCACAACAAAATCTACAGTAGGTACACAAAAATAAAGAGGAAAAAAAAGTATATCACTACCAAAACTATCCTCAAACCACAACAAAGAGAGGAAGAGACGAACAAGAGAACTACAAAACAGAAAACAATTAGCAAAATGGCAATAGTAAGTCCTTACCTATCAATAATTACTTTAAATATAAGTGAACTAAACTCCTCAAATTAAAACACATACTGTGGCCAAATGGATAAAAAAGCAAGACCCAACAATTTTCTGTCCACAGGAGACTCACTTTAGATATAAGGGCACATATTGGGTGAAGGGATGGAGAAAGATATTCCATGCAGATGGTAATCAAAAGAGAGCAGGTCTGGCTATACTTATATCAGACAAAATAGACTTTAAGTCAAAAACTATCACAAGAGACAAAGTCATATAATTATAAAAGGGTCCATTCAACAGGAAGATGTAACAATTATGTATGCACAGACCATCAAAGCACCTAAATATGTGAAGCAACATGGACAAATCAGAAGAGAGAAATAGACAGCAACACAATAATAGTAGCAGACTTAAATACTCCATTCTCATCCAGACAGAAAACCAACAAGGAAAGAGCAGAACTGAACAACACTATAGACCAAATAGCCCTAAAAGATATATACAGAACATTCTACCCAACAGCAGCATAATACTCATTCTTCTCAAGAGCACACAGAACGTTCTCCAGGATGGATCATATGTTAGGACATAAAAGCAAATCTTAACAAATTTAAGAAGACTGAAATTATTCACAAAGCTAGAAATCAATAATAGTAATGAAAATGGGAAAAAAATTTAATACATGGAAATTAAATAACCACACTCTTAAACACCATTGGGTCAAAGAAGAAATCAAAAAGGAAATTAGAAAATATCTCAAGACAAATGAAAATGAAAACATAACAAACCAAAACTTAGGAGACGTAGCAAAAGCAGCACTAAGAGGCAAGTTTATAGCAATAAACACCTACTGTTAAAAATAAGATACCAAATAAACAACCTAACTTTGCACCTTTAGAAAAAGAACAAACTAAGCCCAAATTAGCAGGGTTTTTTGAAAAGATAAAATTGAGAAACCCTTAGCTAGACTAAGGGGAAAAAAAGAGAAGACTGGAATATATAAAATCAGAAATGAAAGAGGAGACATTACAACTCATGCCACAGAAATAAAAAGGATCATAAGGACTATGATGAACAATTATACACCAACAAATTGGACAACCTAGGAGAAATGGATACATTTCTAAAAAAAAATACAACCTACTAATACTGAATCAAGAAGAAATAGAAAGCCTGAGCAGACCAGTAACAAATAAAGAGAATGAAGAAGTAACCAAAAAACTGTCAAACTGTCAACAAAGAAAAGCCCAGGAACTTTGTGAGTGAATTCTACCAAAAATTCAAAGAAGAATTTGTACCAGTCTTTCTTAAACTCTTCCAAAAAACAGAAGAGGGAATCCTTCCAAACTCATTCTATGAGGCCAGCATCATCCTGATATCAAAACCAAAGATACCACAAGAAAACTCAGACCAATATCCCTGATAAACACAGATGCAGAAATCCTCAACAAAAGACTAACACAGCAAATTCAACAGCACGTTCAAAGAATCATAAACCATGACCAAGTAGGATTTATCCCTGGGATGCAAGGATGGTTCAACATATGAAAACCAATCATTGTGATTCACTACATTAACAGAATGAAGGATAAAAGTCACATAATCATCTCAACAGATGCATAAAAAGCATTTGACAAAATTCAACACCCTTTTATGATAAAAAACTCTCAACAAATTAGGTATAGAAGGAACTTACCTCAACACAATAAAGGCCATTTATGAAAAGCCCACAGCTAACACCATACTCAATGGTGAAAAGCTGAAAGCTTTCCCTCTAAGTTCTGGAACAGGGCAAGGATGCCCACTCTTGCCTCTCCTATTCAACAGAGTACTGGAAGTCCAGCCAGAGCAAGTAGGCAAGAAAAAGAAAAGGCATCCACATCAGAAATGAGGAAATAAAGGTATCTGTTTGCACATGATGTTATCTTAGTGCAGGGTATCAAAGAGATGTCTATATTCCCATTTCATTGCAGCATTATTCACAATAACCCAAGAGATGAAAACAGCCCAAGTGTCCATCAGTGGGTGAATGGATAAAGAAAATGTGGTGTGTGTGTGTATATATATATATATACACAATGAAATATTATTCAGCCATGAGAAAGAAAATCCCACCATTTGTGACAACATAAATGGACCTGAAGGACATTATGCTAAGTGAAATAAGCCGGACAAATACCACAATGATCTCACTCTTATGAGGAATCCCAAATAGTGAAATTCATAGAATTTGAGAGTAGCATGGTGGTTACCAGGGGCTGGGAGGAGGGGGAAATTGGAAGGTTGGTCAAAGGATTCAAAGTTTCAGACGTGGAAGATGAGAAACTTCTGGAGATCTACTGTGCAGCATCATGCCTGTGTTTAACAATACTCTATTGTATACCTAAAAATTTGCTAAGAGGACAGATCTTATGTTAAATGCTCCTACCTCAAAAGAAAAAAAGTTATAAAGGTGGGGGGAGGGGAATTTTTGGAGGCAATGGGTAAGTTTATGGCCTTAACCGTGATGATGGTTTCATGGGTGTACACTTATCTGTAAACTCATCAAATTGTGTACATTAAAGATGTACAGATTGAATGTCAATCATACCTCAAAGTGGTTTAAAAAAATAAAAATTTCTAACAGTCACTTTTAAACAGTAAAAAAAGAATTTTAATCTCTCTTTAACCTAATCTATCCAAAATATAATTTCAACATATAATTATTTTAAAATCACTGATATAGTTTTCATTCTTTTTTAATCATATCACATCTTCAAAACCTGGTGTGTATTTTCCACTTAAGGTACATCTCAATTCAGACACTATTTTCAGTTTCACTTTGCTGAAATGTAGTCCTATCAAAACAAAGTTGTGTTTCCTGAAAAAATATTTACTGTGATTCAGTTTTTAAATTGAAATGTAATTTAAAATTTCAGAACCACAGTCACATTAACCACACTTTGGATGCTCAGTATCTACCTGTGGCTACTGGCTACCGTGATGGACAGTGCATGTCTAGAACACATCAATACTACTGGATTCCTTTGCTGGGAATTTGCTATTGGTAGATAAAACTACAGTTTAATCATTAAGGGCCCAGTTCTATGTCTGTCTGTCTGCCTGCATTCAGATCCCAGCTCCATCGCCTAATGGATTTTAACATCTCTAGCCTCAGTTTGTTCATCTGTAAAATGAGGGAAGGAGTTAATGGTAATATCTATCTCACAGGTTTATTCATGCAACAATATACGAAAAACACAGAGACCGGCACATAAGTGCTCAACAGATAGTTTTATAAGTTTTATTGTCATTATCTTTATCACACATAGCCATAACAGGGAGAAGCTCCCAGTGAGACTTGGTTTCCTACAAAACAAAAGTTTCCCCCAGAAGACACCAAATGAAACCTCCAGCTTCACATACAGGTCTGACAGCCTCATGTTGTGGTCAGCTCTCTCCTCTGAGGAGGCTGTGGTGTCACCACCTGGTTTTCAACCTCTCAGATTGGTCCTGTCCCAGATGTTCCTGGTATCAGATATCCAGATAGTCCTAGCTTTATTAAGCACAGACACTCCCATCAAGACAGGTCCCTACACCTGAAACTAACACAACACTGTAAGTCAACTATACTTCAATTAAAAAAAAAAAAAAAGCGCCTGTAGATAGAGCATTCTGCAGCAAAAAAGACAGGTCCCTGAGCTCAAAACCAACACCCTGTGAATGCTTACCTTCCTGGAGTGGACAGCTGCAACGTTTATCCACCAGGTCTCATATTCCTCTGGGACTAACATCCTCCTTCCTCCCCACCCCAAGCACATGGTGCTCCTGGGAGCGCCCCTCTGCAGACCCAGCCCCTCAGCCCTCGAACTAAGCAGGACCAATCCCAATCTTTCCCAAAGATCTTTCAAACTGGCCCTATGAAAGGAGACTTCGTCCCATTCTGCGGCAGAGCTTGTCGATGTGAGCGCTGATGGCCACCCTATTTCCGGCCATACGGATGAAGTCGGCATGAGAAAAGGAGTCACAGAAACAGGGACAAGAGAACAAGAGAGACACCTGGTGATATCTGGGTCCCTGGGCGGAACTCTCCCAGTCCCAGCTGCACGCCTGCTCTTCCCAGTTTGGGGTGCTGCCTAGATTTTTGTCTTTGTCCTCAACTAGCTCCAGCTGGGTTTCGCGCTCTTGTAACTTCCAGGATTCTGACCAGTGCACTTCAAGTTCATGCAACCCTAGAGCCCGGGGTAAAGAGGGAGGCCCTTTAGGAACAGAGGCGTGTGAGAATGACCGGCTGACAGAACACAACGATATCGTGATGTCTGAAGAAAGATAATGACGACCAGTGAGAAAGGACGCAAGGGAGGTCAAGGGCAATGGGTGAGGTCTAAGTCACGGAGAGAGAAGGAGGCAGGCGAGCTCGCACAATCTTCCCTCCTGCCCCTGCCGAA